TGTAGTTTATATAATAAATATTTACTACATTCTAGGCAATGTCTCTCTGTTGTATTAGTTTCCTTCTCCCTAATTCCTCTGTCAGGGAATCAAATTTCTTTGTATTAGTTATGCTAAATTAGTCCTTAAATTACTATAGCTCTGTGGACATTGTTATGTAGATTGTTCCCTCTGATGAACTGTCGGACCACTTTAGGCCCTGCACCAACTGTACCTGAGCCAGATTGGACTCATTTGCATTATGACCACAACTGTCACCACTTAAGACAACTCACCGGGACTCCGCCATTAAAGACCTCAGTAATCATAGTTTTCTAACTTGAATAACCTTGTCATGGGTTCCCTGAAAAGCTTGGTTTGTCACCTCCTGAAAGCCTAGGTAATATTATGATCCCTGGACGTGATATCTAGGCGTTTTTTTTTTTAAGATTTATTTTTTATTTATTTGAAAGCCAGGGTGAGAGAGAAAGAGAGAGAATCTTTTCATCCACTGGGTGACTCCCCAAATGGCTGCAGTGGCCAGGGCTGGGCCAGGCTGGAGCCAGGAGCTTCTTCTGGGTCTCCCACATGGGTGTGGGGGCCCAGTACTTTGACCATCTTCTGCTGCTTTCCTAGGCACATTAACAGGGAGCTGGATTACAAGTGGAGCAGCCAGGACTCAAACTGGCATCCATATGAGATGCTGGTGTTGTAGGCAGCAGCTTAACCTGCTGTACCACAAGCACTAGGTTTTTGGGCCAGCGCTGAGGCTCACTTTAATCCTCCGCTTGCGGCGCCGGCACCCCGGGTTCTAGTCCTAGTTGGGGTGCCGGTTCTGTCGCAGTTGCTCCTCTTCCGGTCCAGCTCTCTGCTGTGGCCTGAGAGGGCAGTGGAGGATGGCCCAAGTGCTTGGGTCCCTGCACCCACATGAGAGACCAGGAGGAAGCACCTGGCCCCTGGCTTCAGATCTGCATAGTGTGCCGGCTGTAATGAGCCAGCCATAGCGGCCACTTGGGGGGTGAACCAACGGAAAAGGAAGACCTTTCTCTCTCTCTCTCTCTCTCTCACTCTCTCACTCTCTCACTCTCTCACTCTCTAACTCTACCTGTCAAAAAAAAAAAAAAAAAACTAAGTTTTTCAAAATTGGGTCCAGTTGATTCCTTTCTTATTTTTTGTACAGTTCATGTCATTAAATTATAGAGCCCTTTTATCAAGAGACTAAATAGTTACTTAATAGATTTTGATGTAACTTCCTCTGGTTGTTCCCGTTTAGAAATGCTGGTTTATTTTTACCTGTTAGTGGTGAAAGTCAACCTGAAGTTTTTTAGACTTTTTTTTTCCACTACCAATGGAAGATTGGTAATTGAGCCTCTTGTCAACTTTACAGAAACAGAAAGCAAACTTTTTCTCATTGTGGTTGAAATAAACAAAAATATTACTGTTGTATTCATCTTAAGTGTATGATTCAGTGGCACTAAGTGGTTTTAGTATTGTGTAACCATTACCACTATTTCCAAAACTTTTTCATCATCCCAACAGAAACTTTGTACCCATTTAGCAACAACTTCCAATTCTACCTTTCCCCCACCCCTGGTAACCTCTATCCTACTTTGTATATTCCTGAATTTGCCTCTTCTAGCTACTTCAAATAGTGGACTAATATTTATCTTTTTGTGACTTATTTCAGTGAACATAGTTTTCAAACTTTATCTATATTGTACCATACAAAGAGTTTTCAAAAATATGGAGCATGAAAAAATTTCAAAATATTTTTTGTACCAAAATAAACATTTTTTTTAATTCCACAAACTTTTTGAAGTACCCTTGGGTATATCAGAATTCATTTATTTTATGTCTGAATATTTCCTTATATATTTACCACATTTTGTTAATCCATTCATCTGTGGATGAACACTTTGGTTGATTGCACTTTTTGGCTGTTGTGAATAATGCCACTGTGGCCATTGTTGTACAAGAATCTGTTTGAGCTCCTGTCCTCATTTCTTCTGGATGTATACCTATAAGTGGAATTGCTGGGTGATATGATAATTCTGTTACATCTTAGGAAAGGAAAACTGAAGGCCCACAGCCGGAAAAACATGATGAGACAGGGTGAGCAGAGAACATAGGGGATGAAAGAGAATCATCCTGACATAGAAATATGAATGGTAATGAAAAATATGCATATTTCACATTGAGCAGGAGGAAGGCAAAATCCTCAATCAAAATTTCTTCTCATTTTCTAGTACTAAAGATCTGGGGTTGGAACTTGAGGAAGGAGGAAAAAGTTTTGGAAATCTGTTTTGAGAAGCAACAAAGGTTATCTAAACTGTAACAGTAATATCCTAATCTTGAATTTACAATAGACTCATGGTTTCAAGGCAAGAAGTTAAGAAATTGGAACAAGAGGGTATGTGGAGAAAGCAGGTGACATTTTTTCCTAGCATTGAAAAATGACACAGTAGGAATAGAATAAAGGAATATTTTAGTTGTAGTAAAGGAAGCCTAAATCACAGCCTGTAAAGTCTACAAACATGGGGCTGGTGCAGTGGAGCACTGGTTAAACCACCACCTGCAGCACCCACATCCCATTTGGTACCATTTCGAGTGCTGGCTGCTCCACTTCCAGTCCCACTCCCTGCTAATGCTCCTGGGAAATGCAAGTCCTTAGGGCTCTGTACCCAAATGGGAGACCTGGGTGAAGCTCCTGGCTTCATCCTGGCCCTTGAGGCCATTTGGGAAGTGAACCAGCAGATGGAAGATATCTCTCTCTCCCTCTCTCTCTGTTTAAGATTTATGTATTTATTTGAAAGAAAGAGAGGAGAGATCTTCCATCTGCTGGTTCACTCCTCAGATGTTTGCAACTGCCAAAGCTGGGCCAGGCTGAAGCCAGGAGCCATGAGCTTCTTCCTGGTCTCCCACATGGATGTATGGGCCCAAACACCTGGACCATCATCCACTGCTTTTTCCAGGCCATTTACAGGGAGTTGGATCAGATGTGGAGCAGCCAGGACATGAACTAGTGCTGATGTGGGATGCTGGCATCATAGGCAGTGGGTTTACCCACTACACCATGACACCTGCCCCCAAATAAATAAATAAATAAATTTAAATTGAGGAACAGTATATGGAGTAAAGTAAAAGAATCCAGAACAGGGATTATAGAGGTGGTGAATAGGAAATTCTTAAGAGATTTCAGAAATCACAACATAAAGTAGAGGAAGAATTTAAAAAGTTTGATCCAAAAATCAGGAGGAAAAATTAGTGTTTTCACCACAAAGAAATGTTCCTTGAGATAGATATGTTTACCCTGATTGGACATATTTGGAAACATCACATACATATGCACAATTTTTTGTGGAAAAAATAAAAATTATTTTAAAAACTAAAAGGTTATTATCAGGAGAATGTTAGAATTTACAGTATCGTGTACTTTGGAAACTGTAAGACCTAATCTATATAATGAAAAATGCCAATATTGGTTTTCTACACAGTTAACTTTAGGTAAGAATATATGGGACTGACCTTGTGGCATAGCAGGTAAAGCTACTGCCTGAGATGCTGGCATCTCAATTGGGTGCCAGTTTGAGTCCCAGCTGCTCCACTTCCAATCCAGCTCCCTGCTAATGGGCCTGAGAAGGCAGTAGAAGATGGCCCAACTCCTTGGGCCCTTGTGCCCTCGTTGGAGATCTAGGAGAAGCTCTTAGCTCCTGGCTTGTGACTGGCCCAGTTGTGGCCATTTCACCCATTTGACCAGTGAACCAGTGATTGGAAGATTCTCTATCTCTGCCTCTCTCCCTGTAAACTCTGTCTTTTAAATAAATAACAAATCTTAAATATATATATATATATATATATATATATATATATATATATATATAAAAAATTGTTGGGCAAGAGGAAGCTGGAGAATAAGTACAAGGGCAGAAGCAAGGTGTCCCAACTCCAGGAGAGAGAGAAAATTTACCTTTTTTCTGCCTTTTTTGTTCTATTTGGGTCTCCAACTGATTGGATGGCACCTACCCACATTGAGGGTGAACCACCCCCATTCAATCCACTGACTCATACAGTCTCTTTCAAAAACCCAAAAATAATGCTTTGTCATGGGAGAGAGGGAGGAAGGGAGGGTGGTTGGGAGAGATCTTCCACCTGCTGGGTCACTCCTCAAAGAGCCCCAACAGACAGAACTGGGCCAGGCCAGCAGAGGCTTAACCTGCTATACTACAACACTGACTCTCCATCTGAGTATCTCTTAATCCAGTCAAGTTGACACCTAAAATTAACCATTACAGAATCACACAAAATGACTACAAAATGAAGTTAAAAATCAGTAACAGAAGGAAAACTAGATGATGCCCAACTTTGTGGAAATTTAACAACAATTAATTGATTTAAATTCAACAGCAGAACAACAATTTAAATTCAACAACATAACTCCTAAACATCCAATATATGAAAGAAGAAATCATAAGGGAAACTAGAGAATAAATTGATAAATTGATTTTTAAAATAGTTTTGCTTTAAATTCTGTCTAATCTTTGCTCAACTTGGATGTTAACAGGTTTTCTTTTTGATTACTAAATTGTCTATTGTCTTTACAAAGCAAATTTAATTGTTCAAAGAATTAGATTTTTCTGAAGTGGTTGTAATATCAAAATTTTTTTTAAGATTTTATTTCTTTATTTGAGAGGTAGAGCTACAGACACAGAGAGGGAGAAACAGAGAAAGGTATTCCATCCGCTGGTTCACTCCCCAAATGGCTGCAATGGCCGGAGCTGAGCTGATCCAAAGCCAGGAACCAGGAACTTCAAGGTCTCCCACTCGGGCGCAGGAGCCCAAGTACTTGGGCCACCTTCTACTGCTTTCCCAAGCCATTAGCAGAGAGCTGGATTGGAAGAGGAGCAGTGGGATAAGAACCAGTACCCGTATGGGAATGCTGGCACCGTAGACGGAAACTTAGCCTACTGTGCCACAGCACCAGCCCCAATTTTTGTTTTTTTAACTATATAATTTTATTGCAGGTTACAGTGTAGAATTGTGGAAGTACTCCCTCCATCACATCAGAATGGTTTTGCTAATGGACATGTGAGCAGTGTAGATGGAGAAACTATTATCATCAGTGATAGTGATGATTCAGAAACACAAAACTGTGCTTTTCAAAATGGGTAAGTGATTTTGTATTCATGTTTAAGTTATTAGTGTTTAAGATTGACTAATGATACTCTGTTGAAATGATGTTTTCCTTCATCCTTCCCTCCTTTCTTTTCTTTCTAATCATACTCTAGTATACTACCCATCTAAACAATCTGGCTCAACGACAGACATTAGAATTTCAGAATTGAAACTTAACCATAATCAGCTGCTTAAGAGCAATTTCATTTAAGCCTCGTACAGTTTTACGTTCCAGTTTTGCTTACCAGGGAAAATTCATCCTTTACTTTTAACATGTTAATACTTATTGTTTTATAGTATACATGGTTAAGAAACTCCAAACACTAAAATTGGCTCATTGAGGGACCTTTGTCTGCTGAGTGCTGTTTGAGAAAAATCACACAGTACATAGGTATCTTGCACTCTCATCTGATACAGCAATCATCCCTGTTCTTAAGAGTTTTCTTAATCTCTACATCTCCATTCACTCCCCTTTAGGCATCTCAAACTTTAAAATGCATTCTCTGGCTTGTCTTGTGCCTTTCTTGTTACCCTATTTTTAGTGAACAGTATCATTAGTTTCAAATAAGAAATCTGAGACCACTCTTAACTATTTCTCTTAGTTTCTTTGCTCTTGAAAAATCGTCTGACCAAGTTCTGTTTCAAAGAATCTATAGCTCAAGTTTTCATTATGTGTGATGTAAGTTGTTCTAGGTAGCAATAACTAGCATTTGGGAGTTGATTATGACCAGGCAGTAGGCCAAGTGCTATTTATATGAAGAATGCTATTATGCTTGTTTAACATGAAAGAACCTAACATTTAGGAAGGTTAATTGGCTTTGCACAAGATCATCAAACTAGCACATTGCCTGACAGAATAAATGACTTTTATTAACTTAGGTGAGTGAGTAAAGCATGACATGGTCCTATATAATGTCTTTTGGTAATCTCATTTTTTTGAGTTGCTACTAATAAGCAAGAAAACAAGCTACTATCTAATGTGTTCTGTCTCAATAAATACAGGATTTGGGATGCAGAGTCTGGTATTACAGTTGTAAGTAAATAACCTTAGCATCTCTGACAGTAGTCCATGTTGGGCCACGATAAAGATAGTAACCCTTAAACTGAGTTAATCTAAAATCAAATGAGTGTATACATATGTACAGATAGAAGTATAGATTATAGTAATAAACAGAGTGTTATTCTCATTAACTTATGAAAGTGCCTTTTGAAAATTTTAATCTGAGATACAAAACTAAACCTGGTCTTAAAGGATTAGGCATAGATTTTTGTATATAAAAGATATTTTTCAAAAGTGATATTTAAATATGATAAGCATATATCTGCAATTTTTTTCATTTAAAAATGGTTTATTTGGGGCAGACATTGAGATGCCTACGTCCCATATCAGATCGCCTAATTCAAGTACTGACTAGTCTGTCTTTCTGATCCAGCTTCCATTCTTGTGCACTTCAGAGGCAGCAGATGATGGCCAAAGTACTTGGGTCCCTGCTACCCAAGTGGGAAACCTGGATGGAGTTCCTGGCTTCTGGCTTCAGCCTGGTCTAGCCCTGGCTGTTGTGGGCATGTGGGGAGTGAACCAGCAGGTGGTTGTGCTTGTATTTATCTGTCTGTTTCTCTCTCTCTCTTCTCTCTTCTCTCTCTCTCTCTCTCTCTCTCTCTCTCTGACTCTGTTTTTCAAATAAGTGAAGCTTTTTAAACAGGTTTATTGCTGGGTGTTCAGTGCAGCTGTTAAGATACAGCTTGGGGGGCCGGCACCATGGCTCACTTGGTTAATCCTCCGCCTGCGGCGCCGGCATCCCATATGAGTGCTGGGTTCTAGTCCCAGTTGCTCCTCTTCCAGTCCAGCTCTCTGCTGTGGCACGGGAGGGCAGTGGAAGATGGCCCAAGTGCTTGGGCTCCTGCACCGCATGGGAGACCAGAAAGAAGCACCTGGCTCCTGGCTTCAGATTGCGTAGCACCAGCCATAGCAGCCATTTGGGGGGTGAATCAACAGAAGGAAGACCTTTCTCTCTCTCTCTCTCTCTCACTGTCTATAACTCTACCTGTCAAATAAAAAAATAAATAAATAAAAATAAAAAATATACTGTTTGGGACACCTGCATCCCATATTAGGGAGCCCGGGTTCAAGTCCAGCTCTGTTTCCAATCTAGCTTCCTGCTAAAGTGCACCCTGGGTGGCAGCTGCTGATGACTCAAGTATTTACACCTCTGCTGCCTTATGTGGGAGACCAAGATTGAGTTCTCAATGCCTGGTTTTAGCCTGGCCTGGCCCTGGCTATTGCAGACATTTGTGGATGAACCAGTACATGAAATCTCTCTCTGGCTATGTGCCTTTCAAATAAATTAAAAAAAAAAAAAGTATAGCTTTATTCTGGGAAGTTTTTAGCCTAGTAGGTAAAACACCCACATTGGGGTATCTGAGTTGATTCTTAGCTCCAGCCCCAGCTCCAGCTCCAGGGGACCAAGCACTTGGCCATTTTCTGCTGTTTTCACAGGTAATTAGCAGGAAGCTATATTGGAAGTGGAGTGGTTGTCACACAAACCAGCACCCATAAAGGGATGCTGGCATTATAGGTGGCAGCTTAACCCACTATGCCACACCACTGGCCCCCATATGTCTGCTTTCGATGATCTTTTCTTTTCTCTTAATGTGTGCTCTTCAAGAATTAATTCACTAATGTTATTTCTATAGCCGTCATTGTTCCTTTTCCCCAAAAGTTACTGACTCATTATAATTTGGCTGTCAGTAAGATGAATGGGGTCTGAAAATTATTTTTATATTTATTTATTCATTTGAGAGAGAGAGAGTGCTGTTGTCAACTGGTTACTCCCCAAATGCATGCAGTGGTCTGGGCTGGCTCCAGCCAAAGCTGGAAACCAGGAACTCAATCCAGGTCTCCCACATATGTGGCAGGTACTCAATACCTGATCCATTACTGTTTCCTCCTAGGGTCTGCATTAGCAGAAGCTAAAATCAGCAGCACTCTGATATGGCATCTTAACTGCTGGACTAAACACCTGTCATTTTTAAAGGAGTCAGCTGAATTGATTTGATATTTGTAGTCCCATGTGTGAAAATTTATTGTGTGGAGCTGGCGCTGTTACATAGTGGGTTACAGCCCCAACCTACAGTGCTGGCATCCACATGGGTGCCACTTTGAGTCCCAGCTGCTCCACTTCCAATCCAGCTCCCTACTAATGTGCCTGGGAAAATAGTGGAGGATGGCCTGAGTCCTTGGGCCCCTGAACCCACGGAGCGGGTTGTGGGGGGAGGGGGTAGAGCCAGAAGGATCTCCTAGCTCCTGGCTTCTGATTGGCTCAGCTCCGGCCATTGCTTTTTACCTCTTTCTCTTTACCTCTCTTTCTCTTTACCTCTTTCTGTAACTCCGTCTTTCAAATAAATAAAATAATTTTTTAAAAAAGAAAATTTAGTGTTTAAGAAAAATAAAGTTAGCATTTTAAATAAATCTTTAAAAATTACCATGAATAAGCCGGCGCCGCGGCTCAATAGGCTAATCCTCCACCTAGCGGCGCCGGCACACCGGGTTCTAGTCCCGGTCAGGGCACCAGATTCTGTCCCGGTTGCCCCTCTTCCAGGCCAGCTCTCTGCTATGGCCTGGGAGTGCAGTGGAGGATGGCCCAAGTGCTTGGGCCCTGCACCCCATGGGAGACCAGGAGAAGTACCTGGCTCCTGCCATTGGATCAGCGCAGTGCACCGGCTGCAGCGTGCCGGCTATGGCGGCCATTGGAGGGTGAACCAATGGCAAAGGAAGACCTTTCTTTCTGTCTCTGTCTCTCACTGTCCACTCTGCCTGTCAAAAAAAAAAAAAAAATTACCATGAATAACCATCTGTGCTAGAAAGCCTAATCCTTCAGTGGATTGTCATTGCAGAATTGTTGTAGTGAACATATCTTTATAATTTCCCCTAAAACAAACCTTTGTTGAAAATATAGGGATTTTTTTTGTGTTGGTGTTTTCTCATTTCTGCTAAGATAATACTTACATAGAAAAATGTTTAGTTTTTACTTCTTTATACTACAACACTTCACAAATATCCTCATATAACTAGACATGTTGAAACATACATTTTTAAAATTAAAGATAATTTTGTTACAAATAGATACAGTGGTCCCTCATTATCTATGGGTATTTGGTTCTAGGAACCCCTACCCTACCTCATCCCCCAGATGCAGATGCTCAGGCTCCTTATATAAAATGATATGGTAGTTGCACATAACCTGGTATATGTTAAACCATCTGTGATTACTTGTAACACCTAATACCAGGAAATAGGTCATATACTGTATTGTTTACCGAATACAAGGAAAAAAAGTATAGATGTTCAGCACACATTTTCTTTCCCAAATATTTTTGTTACACTGTTGGATCTGATTCCATGGATGCAGAATCTACCAGTACAAAGGGCCAACTGTAACTGGAAAAGTGATCTTGTTTTCTTGGTGTAATATATGGTGTTAGCTTGTTATTGTAGAAATAAAATCAGGTCATCAGCTGTTGGCAATAAAATGATGAGTCACAGTCAAGATTGAGATTAGTAGATTCAACTTAATGCCTAACTGTTTAAACCTAGACTTTGGGTAGCAAGGGAGGAAAATGATTAAAATAAAGTCTTTTTTAATATTGCATTGTAGTTCTATCTTTTTGATGAATCCATATTTGTGAGAAATATTTTCTAAGAGCTAATGTTGTAGCACAATGGGTTAAGCTACCGCTTGTGATGCCATGGGATACCAGTTCGAGTGCTAGGGGCCCTGCCATTCATGTAGGAGACCAGTATGGCTCCTGGCTTCTGCCTTCCCAAACCTAGTTATTGTAGAGAGACAGAGAGAAAGGTCTTCCTTCTGTTGGTTCACTCCCCAAATGGCCACTACAGCCAGAGCTACGCCAATCCGAAGCCAGGAGCCAGGTGCTTAATCCCAGTCTCCCTAGGGGGTGCAGGGGCCCAAGCACTTGGGCCATCCTCCATTGCCTTCCCAGGCCACAGCAGAGAGCTGGACTGGGAGAGGAGCAACCAGGACTAGAACATGGCACCGCCTCCCCCCCCCCCCCCAATATAGATAAATCTTTTTTTTTTTTTTTAACTTGGTGGTCTCCAATAATTACACTTTTGTGGAAAGAATAAATTATGATTTTGTTATATAGAGAATTTTGTGTGCTATAGCAAAATCCCAGTAAGAATATTTGCATTCAGGCAGGCACTGTAGAGCAGCAAGTTAAACCACTGCTTAGGATGCTGATATTTCATATCAGAATGCCTGAAATGATGTCTCTTCTGTGCTTCCAATCCAGCATTCTGCTGACATGACTGGGAGGCAGCAGATGATGACCCAAGTACTTGGGGTCCTGCCATCTATGTGGGAGACCCAGATAGAGTTCTGGCTCTTCAGGCCCAGTTCTGGCTTAACTTCAGGGGCGTCTAGGGAATGAACCAGCAGATGCAAAATTTCTTTTTTCTTTCAAATAAATAATTTTTAAAAGAAACTGAAAGAAGTGAGAATCTTTTTTAAAAAGAATATTTAACAGTGTTTAGAAAAATGATTTCTGTTTGTCTGGTCTTAACAGTGTGCCACAGATTTCAGGACATAGCAAAAAAAAAAAAAAAAAAAAAGGATACTTTTTTAAAAAGTTATTTGAGGGAAAGATGAGACAGAGACAAAACTCTTATCTGCTGGTTTCCTCCCCAAATGCCCACAATGGCAAGGATTTAACTTGGCCAAAGCCGAGAGTCAGGAACTCAACTCAGCTTTCCCATGTGGGTGGCAGGAACCCAATCACCTGAATCCTGATCACTGCCTGCCAGGGTCTCTGCATTAACAGGAAGCTTGAGTCCAGAGCTGGAGCTTGGCATCAGACCCAGGTACTCTGATGAGAGCTATTGGTATCTTTTTTTTTTTTTTTTTTTTTTTTTTTTTTTAGGATCTATTTATTTATTTGAGAGAGTCACAGAGAGAGAGAGAGAGATCTTCCATCAGCTAATTCACTCCTCAATTGGCCACCATGGCCAGGCCCAGACCAAAGCCAGGAGCTTTATCCAGGTCTCCCATGGGGGTGGCAGGGGCCCAAGGACTTGTCATCTTCCAATGCTTTCCTAGGCACATCAGCAGGAAGCTAGGACAGAAGTGGAGCAGCTAGGACTCAAACCAGTGCTCATATGGGATGCTGGCATTGCAGGCAGCAGTTTAGCCCACTGTGCCACAATGCCAGCCCTAGATATTGGTTTCTTAATTGCTTGGCTAAATACCCACTCTCAAAGATTGTTTTTTACACATAAAAACCTCCACATCTTATAACTTTATATCCATTAAGATAAGGTCCATATACAAGTTTTCAGTACAATCAGTTATACTCAGTCATTCCTTTATATATGTAAAGTGGCAATGATTAGTTGCTAAGTTGGCATCCATTCAGAAAGTAGTAAAATAAAAAGCCTTAATCATATCTCTTGCTCTTGAACTGCTGCTGATCTATTAAAATTCATTTTGATTTTCCTTCCCTTTATTTCAACAAATTGTTTCATTGAGACCTCCCATTTGTGCCTCTGTTTGAATACTTTGAGTTCTCTCTTCAATCTGTTCTCCTGGATTAGTGCTTTTCATAATGCAGATTATAGCTTCATGTAGCTTAGAGAAAGTAAAGCAATAATGAACTTAAGTGGAATAAAACATATTAGCACTCCAAATAATAAGGGTAAATGTTTAAATATATTATCCTGGTTTAAATGTATATTGAGTCTTATTACAAAGATGCTTGAGGCTGGCGCCGCGGCTCAATAGGTTAATCCTCTGCCTGTGGCGCCGGCACACCGCGTTCTAGTTCCGGTCGGGGCACCGGATTCTGTCCCAGTTGCTCCTCTTCCAGGCCAGCTCTCTGCTGTGCCCCGGGAGTGCAGTGGAGGATGGTCCAAGTGCTTGGGCCCTGCACCCCATGGGAGACCAGGAGAAGTACCTGGCTCCTGACTTCGGATCAGCGCTGTGCGCCAGCCGCAGCACGCCGGCCTCAGCGCACTGGCCGCGGCAGCTATTGCAGAGTGAACCAACAGCAAAAGGAAGACCTTTTTCTCTATCTCTCTTTCTCACTGTCCACTCTGCCTGTCAAAAATAAATAGATAGATAGATAGATAGATGCTTGAAAATGCTTGGCCCTTGGATTTCATGCTCTACTTTTATTTGTGTGACCCAGTCACATGTCCCTTTTGTGTCAAACCCCTCCCCTACCTTATATTGCTGTATTTTTATCACTTTGACCATATCTGCCACTCACCACCGGTGTTTCTCTTTATATCATTTTCTTCTCTGTAATCCTGCCTCCCTCTTACATCTTTTTTATTCATACAGGTGGTGGGGACTTAGAGGGTAATCATCTTTGTGCTGCCATCACTGCTGCTGAGTCCTTGTTGCCATCACTTCTCTGTAGCTTTCTCCCATCCAAGTAATCTTCTGAGACCTTCTGAGATCTGAGAAAATCAGGCATGTTTAGGGTGGTTTGGCCATAGATTCTCAGTAGCTTTCTAATTGGTATTTCTGTTTGCTTTCTTGCTTCATAGTCTAGGCAGCCAGAGCACTCCTTCTGCAGTGTCAGTTACATCATCATTATCCTATTATTCGGATCCGTTAGTGCTTTACTCTGAGTACACTGCAAAGCCTTTAATGATGCCCTGTAGTCTTGACCTGCTGCTGCCCTCTGACTGAATCGTCTCCTTACTCATTCTGCTTCTTATGCAAGCTACATGTTTTTACCTCGGGGCCTTTACAAGTTTCTCTCTCTCTCTCTCTCTCTCTCAGAGATTTATTTTTTTGTTTATTTGAAAGGCAGAGTTACAGAGAGGCAGAGAGAGAGAGAGACAGATCTTCATCCCCAGCTTCACTCCCAAGGTGGCCTCAATGGCCGGAACTACGCCGATCCAAAGCCAGGAGTCAGGAGCTTCTTCCAGGTCTCCCTTGTGGGTGCAGGGGCCCAAGAACTTGGACCATCCTCTACTGCTTTCCCAGACCATAGCAGAAAACAGAATTAGAAGTGGAGTGCCCAGGACTCAAACTGGCGCCCGTATGGGATGCCAACACTGCAGGCTTTACCTGCTATGCCACAGCGCCGGCTCCTCTTTTCTCTGTTTAAACTCATTTGCTGAAGATTTTATCATGGATTGCTCCCTCTCTTTTTTATTTTTTAAATTTTTTCCCCATATCTGCTTAAATATCTTCTTCTTAGAAGATCTACCTGGCAGTTTCAGGGACTATAACCTATTTAAATAATAGCTCTCCCACCCTGTGTTTTTTTCTTTGTAGCACCTACCACCTATCCTGTTATGTATTTTTTCTTGATTTTATCTCCTCACTATGTTTCTGTTGTGTTGATAATGCAGTCACGTTTTCCAGTATTATCTGCACTTCTTCACTGTGAATGAGTGAATATGCCCTGAAGGGAAGAAAAGGTGACCGGTTGCTGAGGGCAAGGATTGCATGTATAGCCTCTTTGCTAATTTGAAAACTGCATTATCTCTACTTTTGCTCTTGGATTATATAGCTATGAAGAAGAAAGTTTCAAAGCAAATCCAAGAATTTTTTTTAAACAAATCTAACCTAAACTGTATATTCTGATTAATCATCTCTAGTTAACTTTATGCATCCAGGAAAAATTTACTGAATGAGTAATTAATTAAATAATTAAAATTGTGCTTGATATTGTTTTGGCTAATAAGATGGAAGAGTATGGGAGAGGGAGCAGTAACTTAGAAAATAAGTTTCTGTTTAAGATCTCATATTTATACATCATTAACTGATTCATGTCTTTTCCCTCTTTTTAGGAAGAAAAAAGATGCACTTGATCCTTTATTATTCAAGTATAAGGTGCAGCCCACTAAAAAGGAATTATATGACTCTGCTATTGTTAAGGCAACACAAATCAGGTAAAACCCTGAGATAGTAATTTAAATCAGAATAATTATATGTTAGATAAAAAAAGGTTTTATGAAGTAAATTTATATATACTTATAAATTGTTAAAATGGGTCCTAACGGACTCCTTGAGCCCTTTGTTTAGGGTATCTAATCCCAAATGATCTTTAGTCTAAAGAATTAAAAAGCATTCAATTTATGAAGTGCTTCTCATGAAATAACTCAGTTTTTAATGCTGAAAAAATTGATGATATTTTTAATATATCACCTCTGTGGTGGTTTATTCATTAGATCAGTTTCTTCCTATTAAGAATGTTAAAAAGTGAGTATCTTTACAAACTCCTGTTAGAAGTCTATTTGGAGGAGAGAGAGGTAGTGAGCAGTTAATATTTAAAGGAACTGATTCTGGGTTACAGAGATGTTTGGAAAAGTCATTTAATTATTTATTAATTGTCTGAAAATAAGTTGACATTATTAGCCACCTATCAGCTTGCCACCTAAGAGTCAATCCTACATCTCATTTATTTCAATTTTTACTTATTCTACCAACTCTTTTGCTCCATACATGCCTTAAATGAATCCTGAGTTAGATAAATGGTTTTCTGCAGTTTTATTGAAGTGTGTGGTTTATTGCTTGATTAGTTGGTTTGAGGTAGGGAATAAGATCTCTAGGACATTCTACATTTTACTATATTCCCAAGTTAATATTTATGGATTATTGAAACTTTTAATTTGTTTATTTTATGGTCTAATGAATGATATAGAAGTTGAGACTGCAAATAGTTTTCTTAATCACAGTTGAGTTTTCTCTCCTTTCCCTTCAGTTCAAGATATATTAATTATATAATTAAATTTCCTGTTAAAATTTTTCATTTTTTGGAGTCAGCACTGTGGCGTGGTGGGTAAGGCAGCTGCCTGTAGTGCCAGCATCCCATATGGGCACAAGTTCAAGTCCTGGGTGCTCTATTTCTGATCCAGCTCTCTGCTAATGTGCCTTGGAATGCAGTGAAGGCTATTTCAAATTCCTGGGCCCCTGCACCCATGTAGGAGACCCTGAATAAGCTCTTGGCTCCTGGCTTCAGATCAGCCCAGCTCCAGCCACTGCGGTCATTTGGGGAGCAGACCAGCAGATAGATGCAAGACTTCTCTGTCTGTCTCCCTCTCTCTCTGTAACTCTGCCTCTCAAATAATCTTTAAAAAAAATTTTAAGTACTTGTTTATTTGAGATGAAGAAAAAGAGCGAGAGAGTGACCTACCTCACCCATTCACTGGTTCACTTTCTAGACATCTGTAACATCTAGGACAAGACCAAATCAGAGTTGGGAGCCAGAAATTCAATCCAGGTCTTCAGTGTGGGTGACAGGAACCCAACCACTTGAGCCGTCACCACTACCTCCCAGGGTCTGCATTAGCAGAAAGTTGGAGTCAGGAGCTATCACAGGATACCAAACCCAGGCACTCTAATATGGAATGTGGCCATCTGAACTTCTCAACTGAACACCTAGCCTTTCCTACTAACTTTTTTATTTATAGCTTAAATATAAATATTCTGCTATAGATTGGTTAGTTTTGTTAACTCATTTTCTTCTTAATTGTAAGCCAAAGAATCATAAAATGAAAAAACTTTACTTGATAATTGAAGATTTAAAAGACTTCTTTTTGTTAACATCAAAGGATAGTACTCTTACAGGTTAAGCTACCTTTATAAGCACCAGTTCAACTTGGTCCAACCCCAGCCATACAGCCATTTGGGAAGTGAATTAATGGATGGAATATATCCCTCTGTGCCTTTCAAATAAATAAATAAATCTTTTAAAATTTAAAAAAAAAAAGGATATGGGAGAATAGGGGTTGGTGTTGTAGTGCAGTGAGTTAAGCTGCCACCTACAATGCTGCAGTCCCATGTGAGTGCTTTTTCAGCTGCTCCTTTCTGATCCAGCTCCCTGCTAATGCACCTGGGAAAGCAGCAAAAGATGGCCCAAGTACTTGGGCCTCTGCCACCCACGTGGAAGACCCGGATGGAGTTCCTGGCTCCTAGCTTTGGCCTGACCCAATCCCAGCCATTATGGCCATTTGAGGAGTGGACCAGTGGGTGGAAGATCTGTGTGTGTGTGTGTGTGTGTGTGTGTGTGTGTTTCTCATAACTTCCTCTTTCTCTGAAACTCTGACTTTCAAATAAAAATAAATAAATCGTAACAAAGTGATAATCCTTTTCTTTTAATAAAGAAATAGTAATAATCCTCTAATAAATAAGACTTGATATGCTAGAATAGCACTGATGAGAAGAACTTCCTATGGTAATGGAAATGTTAAATGTGTGCCATCCTTTATGATGGCAATAACCACCTGTTGCTACTGAGCACTTGAAATGTGGCTAGTAGGAATGAGGAACTGAATTTTTTATTTTATTTATTAGAACAAATATGATTAGTAGCTACCAACTAGAACAGTGCAGTCCTTTGGTACTAGTTACTTATTCAACAGTCAACAAGTAATTACATTTTCCTTGCTAGACTTCGTATGGTGCTTGAATATAGCAGTGAACCAGAGTCCTTCCTCTCATGGAACTTAAATTCTAGGAAAAGAATATGCATTTTGCAGACAACCACCACATAAAAAACTCCTGTATTATTTCTTCACTCCGAAGCTTTTAACTTGGCTTCTTCGTGAAAGGAATAGATTGAATTCACTCGAAGTACTTGTGTGTTTTATATTGTTTCTGTGGAGGTGTTGCTGTTATGGTGTATTTGTTCTTATTTCGAAATAGAGGGCAACAGAGAATCAAAACATGTATATTTTAGAATTTTTGTTTTAATTCTCTTTAGTTTTTATCCCACTAATCTATTTGCTACCATATGAGATTTAAATATAAAATATTTTAAAATTTGATAAGGCCCTATGTTTAACCATGTTTAAAATATCCATTTGAAAGTTTGTATATATAATATTATATGATATCTCATAGTCTACTAATTTTAATTTTTGAAAGAATTTTAATGGTGATAATTTTAGGGGTGATTTGGTTTATTTTTCTTGCAGTTTAATTCCAAATGTCTCCTGAGCAACAAATGTATATTCTCTTTTTATAAAGGCTTTTTGTAATGGATCCACTCAAGTAGATCTTCTTATATAACTTCCTACAAAAATGCCTTTGTATAAAGTTTCTCATAACTTCTACATAAATAGGAAGATGAAATGTCCTTCATTTCTTGAACTTGAAATTCAAGTTATACATTTGCAAAGATTATGAAGTTTGAATTAAATTCACTGATGCTAACACTAATTCTTCTTTGTACTGGCAGCCGGAGGAAACACCTATTTTCTCGTGATAAGTTAAAGCTTTTTCTGAAGCAACACTGTGAGCCACAAGATGGAATCATTAAAATTAAGGTAATCAGAATAGTAAAAGTATTTGTTGGAAGAAAGAAAAGATGAGAAATGTGTAATGTTATACAGTTATAACATTGCAGAAATATATGTCAAAGATGGTTGAAATTTTTATCTATAGCTAACTTTTAGGATTTTTAAAAATATTTATAGGGGCTGGTGTTATGTCATAGCAGATAAAGCTGCCACCTGCGATGCCAAGCATCCCATATAGGCACCGGTTCAAGTCCCATCTGCTCCACTTCCCATCTAACTCTCTGCTAATGTGCCTGGGAAAGCCGTGGAGGATGGTCCAAGTACCTGGGTCTCTACATCCACATGGGAGACCCAGAAGAAGCTCCTGGCTTATTGTGGCCATCTGGAGAGTGAACCAGCAGATGAAAGATTTTTGTCTCACCTTCCCTCTCTGTAACTCTGACTTGCAAATAAAACTATTAGGGTAGTACAGTAGGTTCCTGATATTAAATATGTGGATTAATTATTTACATAGAAAATATTAGGCAAAATTCACCAAAGGCAAAATGGATTATTATATAAATATAGTTTTGAAGTAATTTTAAAATTCAGAGATCTGTTGCAACATTCTTGAGGTATTTTGTAGTGAAGCAATCTTTGAGTTTTGGTTTTCTTTGTGGTAAGGCTGATTAATTACATACAAAGTCTGGAAAAAGAATGAGTAAGCCAACTAAAATGTATTTCACTATACAATTCTGTATGAAATTGTAAGGTTTGGGCCTAGTCTTTTTTCTTCCTTCCTCCCCCCCCCCACCTCCCTCTCCTCTCCTCTCCTCCCTCCCTCCCTCCCTCCCTCCTTCCCTCTCTCCTTCCTTCCCTCCCTCCCTCCCTCCCTCCCTCCTTCCTCCCCTCCCCTCCTTCCCCTCCCCTCCCCTCCCCTTCCTTCCTTCCTTCCTTCCTTCCTTCTTTTTTAAGATTCATTTATTTGAGAGGTAGAGTTACAGATAGAGGGAGAGACAGAGAGAAAGGACTTCCACTCTGGGTCTCCCATGTGAGTGCAGGGTCCCAAGTACTTAGGCCATCCTCTACTGTTTCCTTGGCCATAAGCAGAGGTAGATCAGAGAGGAGCAGCCCAAATGGGATCCCCACACTGCAGGCAGAGGCTTAGCCCACTATGCCACAGTGCTGGCCCCAACCTGGTCTTTAACAGCATTAATAGTGGTCATATGACACATCATAGCCTATCTGTATATGGTTTACTAATGTGTTGTTATTATAACCTGTGTCTTTTCTTATTACTGTTAAGGCATCATCTCTTTTAACATATAAAATAGCAGAACAAGATTTTTCTTATTTCTTCCCTGATGATCCACCCACATTTATATTCAGTCCTGCTAACAGACGAAGAGGAAGGCCTCCCAAAAGAGTATCTGTTTGTCAGGTAAGTAAAGAAGAAATGAAATGAAAGTGACATTTTAGCTGTTAATCAAACAGTATTCAGAATCAAGGGCAATGTTTGAATATCCTTACCCCATGAGGTAATGAGGAAGAAACTCATTACTTCAAACACACACACATACACGCATGCACAAATGTGTATGTGTGCTATATGTTGATAACTGCTCAGGAGTGAGGCTTGTAGAAGTGTCAGGTGTTAATTAGGCATGGCTGTGATGCCACAGGGATTTTATAACAAAGTGGAAGCAAGCAGATAAGCACTGACTAACATGTAAAGCAGGATGAAATGCAAGGAATAAGCTATGAAGTTGAAGTATAAAGAGCAATAACTTCTAACTGGAGGAAAGTATGTAATGCTTTAAGAGAGCGCTAATGCTCTAGACAAAATGCAAGATTTCTAATGATGACGCAGAGTTGGGAAAGGTATCCGAGGCAGAAGACAGAACATGAATGAGGGTTTAAGGGAGTCGGGATTTATTTATATGGCATCCGTGAGCAGTGTACTGTTTTATAACTATGTGAGTACATGGACAGATGTAATGGGAAAATGAAGCAGAAAGTGTATAGTTACTCTTGAGGCTCACTACTAAATATTTTGTACAATCAAATGATGCTAAGATTTTCTCCATAATAATTTCTAATTTGCTTCAATATTACTTGTCTTATATAGAGATTGAAAATAGACTTTAGCCATAAAGTGTTGACCTAAACCCAAGTAGGTAGCAGTATACTGATTCAGTGTGTGAAATGAGAGACCTTAGAATGCAAAATAAATCTCCCTGAGAAAAACTCCTTATTGAATTTTAGAACAGAAAGAGAAAGGCAATATAGGTTAAATTAAAAGTTTAATTCTTTGCCTGCCTTCCTTCCTTTCTGTCTTTCTTCCTTCCTTCCTTTCTCTCTCTCTCTCTCCCTTTCTTTCTTTCTTTCTTTCTCTCTTTCTCTCTTTCTCTTTCTCTTTCTTTCTCTCTTTCTCCCTTTCTTTCTTTCTTTTTCTTTCTCTCTTTCTCTCTCTTTCTTTCTCTTTCTTTCTCTCTTTTCTTTCTTTCTTTCTCTCTTTCTCTCTCTCTCTTTCTTTCTCCCTTTCTTTCTTTCTTTCTTTCTTTCTTTCTTTCTCGCTCTTTCTTTCTCTCTTTGTTTTTCTTTCTTTCTCTCTCTTTCTTTCTTTATTTCTTTCTCTCTCTTTCTTTCTCCCTTTCTCTCTCTCTCTCTTTCTCTCTCTTTCTTTCTCTCTCTTTCTCTTTCTCTCTTTGTTTCTTTCTCTCTCTTTCTCTTTCTTTCTCTTTCTCTCTTCTTTCTTTCTCTCTTTCTTTCTCTTTCTCTTTCTCTGTTTCTCTCTTTCTTTCTCTCTTTCTCTCTTTTTTTCTTTCTTTCTTTCTTTCACAGATAGAGTTAGTGAGAGAGAGAGACAGAGAGAAAGGTCATCCCTCTGTTGGTTCATCCCTCAAATGGCCGCTACGGCCAGTACTGCACCGATCCGAAGCCGGGAGCCAGGTGCTTCTTCCTGGTCTCCCATGTGGGTGCAGGGCCCAAACACTTGGGCCATCTTCCACTGCCTTCCCGGGCCACAGCAGAGAGCTGGACTGGAAGAGGAGCAACCGGGACTAGAACCGACGCCCATATGGGATGCCAGCGCTGCAGGCGGAGGATTAACCAAGTGAACCATGGCGCCGGCCCCTCTTTGCCTACTTTCTAATTTATGTTCTTCACCTTTAACTATCAGAAACTTTCTTCCCTTGGGCTATTCCTATTTCCCAGTTCAGGGAGCAAGGACACTCTGAAAGTTTCTGGAATTGAGCAAACTAATAGCTAGATAAGGTTGTCTGAGTCAAAGGAAATTTGTCTTGAATCATTTTAATTTTTTTAAATTTATTTATTTATTTATTTGAAAGGCAAAGTTACAGAGAGAGAGGGAGAGACAGAGAAATATTTCATCTGCTGATTCACTCCCCAAATGGCCGCAATGGCCAGGGCTAGAGCAGCCCAAAGCCAGGAGCCCAGAGCTGCTTCTCGATCTCCCACATGTGTACAGGGGACCAAGCACTTGGGCTGTCCTCTGTTGCTCTTCCCAGGCCACTGGTAGGGAGCTGGATCCTAAGTGGAACAGCCAGGATGAGAACTGGAGCCAATATGGTCTGCCAGCATTGCAGGTGGCAGCTTTACCCACTATGCCACAATGCCAGCCCCTGTTTGTTTTTTAAGGATTTATTAATTTGAAAGAGTTAGAGAAGGAGAGAGAGAGAGAGAGATCTTCCATCCACTGGATCACTCTCCAGATGACCACAACAGCTGAAGCAGGGCCATTCTGAAGCCAGGAGCCAGGAGCTTTTTCCAGGTCTTCCACGTGTTTGCAAGGGTCCAAGGACTTGAGCTATCTTCCGCTGCTTTCCTAGGCCTGTTATTAGGGCCTGGATTGGAAGTGGAGCAGTTGTGTTTCAAACTGGTACCCACATGGGATGTTGGCAGCGCTTTTACTTGCTACGCCACATCAGCCATTTTTACTATATTATATGAAGCAGTTTATTATGTATATTATCTTTTTTAGCTCTCACCACAAGCCTTCAAAATGAGTACAATCTCATTTAACAGATGAAGAGGTAGACACAGAAAGTTTACTTTCTTGAAGTAACATAAAACTGGGATTTGAACCTGGTTTTAAAATTAGCTCCTTGTTCTTTTTGTCTTGCTTTAGTGATACAGGATGAGATTGATACTGTTATTCACTGAGGTAACTAAATTAGAGTGATAAATTGCCACTTTTATTTTCCAGTTGCAGTTCAATTATTATATCTTTTTTGGCTATTTTGAATATCTTTTGAAATTTCATCAAATACTGAGATTTGAAATACATTTACCCAGAACCTTGAGCTTCAGCTGTCATAAGCTTTCTCATGTTTCACTTACCTAAGATCTGACTTCTCTACTAATCTATGTAAATTCTGCGAAGGAACAGTGTCAGTATTGTTTATTACCATAATGAGTACTGGTATATACTAAGTACTGAGATACTCAAATGAATTATTTCTATATTACTATGTTTATAAAAATAAGAGATAATAAAAATATTATATTAAGCTGATTAGAGACAGTCTCACAAAAAAACAAGGTAAAAATAAAATTTTTACATTGAACATTGGTCTCAAGAATTTGGGGGGTTATTATTTTAAAGGCAAGCAACAAAGAGGGAGACGGATCTTCCATTTTCTGGTTTATTCTCCAGATGGCTACAACTGCAGGATCTGGGCCAGTTGAAGCCAGAAGCCAGGGGCTCCATCTGGTTCTCCCACATGGTGGCAGGGACTCAAATACTTGAGCTATCATCTGCTGCTTCCCATACACATCAGTAGAGAGCTGGATCAGAAGCAGGGTAGCCTGCACTCAAACCAGCACTCCCATGTAGGATGTGAGTTAACAACTGGCTTAACTCAGTGCACCACAGTGCCAGCCCCCAAAATGTTTCTGGCATGTCTTTTCTTTGCCTGTGGCACCAGCATCCCACATGGGCGCCAATTCGTGTCCCAGCTTCTCCTCTCCCAATCTAACTCTCAGCTAATGGTCTAGGAAAGCAGTGGAAGATGGCCCAAATGCTTGGGCCTCTGCACCCATGTGGGAGACATGGAGGAGGCTCCTGGCTCCTGGCTTTGGATCAGCTCAGCTCCAGTCGTTGTAGCCATTTAGGGAGTGAACCAGTGGATGGAAGACATCTCCCTCCCTCCCTTTCTCTCTCCCTCCCCCCTCCCTCTCTCTGTGTATAATTCTACCTCTCAAATAAGATTAAAAAAAAAAAACTCATTTTAGTGACAGGCATATGGGGCAGTGGTTGAATTGCTGTTTGGAATGCCCTTCTCCCATATCAGAGTACCTGGTTTGAATCCTGGCTACTCTACTTCTGATCCAGTTTCCTTCTAATGTGTGTCCTTGGAGGCAGCAGATGATGGCTCAGGTTTTGGCTCCAGGTGAGTATTTGGGGAGTGAATCAGCAAATGGAATTCTCTCTCATTCTCTCTCTCTCTCTCTCTCTCTCTCTCTCTCTCTCTCTCTCTCTCTCGGCTTTCAAATGAAATGAAAATTAAAAGAGGGGCCGGCGCTGTGGTGTAGCAGTTAAAGCCACCACCTGCAGTGCCAGCATCCTAGTGGGCACCCATTTGACTCCTGGCTGTCCCTCTTCCCTTCCAGCTCTCTGCTATGGCCTGGGAAAGCAGTAGAATGATGGCTCAAGTCCTTGGGCCGCTGCACCTGTGTAGGAGACCCAGAAGAAGCTTCTGGCTCCTGGCTTAGGATCAGCCCAGCTTTGGCTGTTGGGGCCATCTGGGGACTGAACCAGCAGATAGAAGACCTCTCTATCTCTCTCTCTGCTTCTGCCTCTGCCTCTGCCTCTCTGTAACTCTGCCTTTCAATAAATAAATAAATCTTAAAAAAGAGGATAGTCTCCAATTTATGAAAATCAAAAGAAAAGTATTTTCAGTATAAAGAAGGTATCTTCCAATTTTTTTTTGTATTTTAGACTTACTATACAGAGTATCAGTTTTCATAATGTGTTATCTTCAATTTTGGTTTCTTGGCTTGTTTTGTAGGAGGACAGTGTTGCTAATCAACAGAATATTGTAGGTTTTAGGAACAAAGCTACTAAGGAAAGAGACAAACTTTTGAAACAAGAAGAAATGAAGTCACTGGGTAAGTTTTAACATTCATTCCGAAAAGTGCTCAGTGACAAAAAAGGATATTTTTTCTGTGCCCAAGTGGTGCATTTTTATAAATAACATATTTCTGGTTTATTTTAGGAAGTATAAATATTTTTTTCCTTCACATAGTTATTGATACTTTTTTGGAATCCCTTGGAGGATCTTGTTAGAGATTCTTAGTAGGTCTAGGTCAGGGCTGAGATTCTGCATTTTTAATAAGGCAATGTCCTTGTGCTGGTTCTCAGACCACAGTTTGAGTATCTAAGCTTACATGGCAGGATATATTTGCTCCAGTTTTGTAATTTGATTTAAACTCTGCTAATGCTTTCCAGTTTTAATCACCTGCTAGGTCCTTTCAGGAATTTTGTGAGGTTCAATTAGTTTAATTTAATCTTAACTTACTTTAGGGATCCTTATTACAGCAAAAAAATGCCAAGTGCTGGTTTTTTGACTGCATAGAATTCTAAGTTTGACCTTCTCCACAGCTTTTGAAAAGGCCAAATTAAAAAGAGAAAAAGCGGATGCCCTAGAAGCAAAAAAAAAAGAAAAGGAAGATAAAGAGAAAAAAAGAGAAGAATTAAAGAAAATTGTCGAAGAAGAGAGACTAAAGAAAAAAGAAGAAAAAGAGAGACTTAAAATAGAAAGAGAAAAGGTATTCATTTGAGTATATTAGCTATGCCCACTACATACTAATATTACTTTACATGTTTAAATTGTGAAATTTCAATGTGTTTGCCACTTTCACTCACCTTTTTGAATGTATAGAACACTAAACAGTATTGCTAAAGAAAACTGATTTAAGTCAGTATATGTCTTGGTGCCTTTACTCCTCAGTTAAAACCGTTTCTTTATTTTTAAAAAAAATTTAAAAAGATTTATTCATTTAATTAAGTTAGAGAAGAAGAGAGACACACAGAAAGAGATCTTCAGTCTGCTGGCTCACTTCCTAAATAGCTATAATGGCCAGGTCTGGACTAGGCCAAAACCAGGAACCTGGAATGCCATCTGAGTCTCCCACATAGGGGGCAGGGACCCAGAACTCAAGTAGTCTTCCTCCACTCTCTTCCCAGGTATTTTAGCAGGGAGCTGTGTCGCTCCCCCTCTTCGTGGAGGAGCAACACAGGACCCTGCGCTGTTCTTTCGTCTGCTCGGCCCTCCCCGGGTTTGCTGCTGGTTCTTCCCGGGTTGGCTACTATCCCTTCCACCTCCGTGGAAGGGCAGTTCCCCCTGGCCACTTTCCCCACTTCCGCAGGGGAGCGGCACACCGCCGGCCGGCTTTCTCGGGGGCTGCACGGGTTCCCTTAGATGTTCCCCATAGATGTTCCTTGTGCATGCCGTCTCTCTCCTCTTTTATAGTCCTCCTCCGCCAATCCCAACTCGGCTGCCCACACGCCGAGTACGCTGCTCTCCTCCAATCAGGAGCAAGTCCTACAGTTTATTAGTTGAACTGGAGGCAGCTGTGTGGAAGCTGTTTACTTCTCTCCCAGCGCCATATTGTGGGAGAGCAGATGCATAGAATAAGTCTTAATTCGAGTAACTCAGTCTAGTCCGGATTGCTCCCCACAGATCCCCCTTTCTTTTTATTTTTGGCGTTGATACGCGCCTGTCTTCGGTGTCCCGCGGCACACACTCTGCTCTACTTGCTAGAGTTGCCACAGGCTCTTACAAGTCCTATCAATCAGGAAAACCGAATCCGGGTCCTCTCTTCGCCATGTTGTGAGGAGGTTTTTAGGCGCTGATGCGTGCCTGTGTTCGGTGCCCTGCAGCGCATGCTCTGCTCTGCCTGCAGGGGACTTACAAGACCTATCAGGCAAACCGAATCCAAGCCTTCTCATTGCCTTATTGTGGGGGAGACTTATTAGTGTTGGTTCGTGCCTATCTTCGGTGACCTGCAGCTCATACTCTGGTCGAGCTGCTTGCTGGCGCTTACCGCCTTAATCAGGCAGACCGAATCCAAGCCTTCTAATTGCGGTATTGTGGGGAAGCCTTACTGATGTTAATTCGTGCCTGTCTTCGGTGACCTGCGGCGCATAAGCTGCTAGCCGCCCAGGTGCTCATCGCCTCACTAATCGGGCAGACCGAATCCAAGCCTTCTAATTGCCATGTTGAGGGGAGGCCTTTCTATTTCTCTCTTTCTCTATCTCTGGGCATTCCTATTTCTCCCATTTTACTTCTGTCTGCCAACATTCCCATTTCTCTCACTCCACTTCCAAACTTATGTTTCTCTTATCCCCGCAGCTTCCCGCTGCCCGCCCCGAGGCTACTTCTCGGCGGCTTCCCAGCTGAGCTGCTTCAGCCCGCGCCTCTTTCATCTGCGCAGCTTCCCGGCTTTGCGCGGCTTGGCTTCGCGCGCTCCGCGGTCTCCACGCCCTTCGCGTCTGCACCACGGCCTACGCCAGCCCCGTTCCCTATCTATTCACGCCCCGTGCTCTCTCTGCACGCGGCGGCTTCCGCGAGTAACACAGCCCCAGCTCACGTCTCCGCCACTAGCATTCAATCTAAGTTCCCCGGGCTAGCCTGGCGAATTCAACCCAGCGTACGTCTCCGCCCCACGGTTTGGCTTCCCGTCCTTTGCTCCCCGGGCTAATCAGATGGATCCCAACCTGGCTCACGTTTCAGCTTCTGGTTTCAACTTTTCACCCCCTATTCCCGGGCTAACTTGAGAATCCCAAAGTGGCTTTCGTGTCCGCCTTGGCCTGCCTCCCGCGGCTTCAATTTCCCTAACATTTTTCTCTACCCGGTATGTTTCCCCAAACTTTCCTCCAACGATATTCCTCCCTCATTTCTCCTGGCCTCTCCCCACAGTCCGCGTCCGAGTCTGTTTGTTCTAGCTTTCACTTTCGCTTTCGACCTTAGAGATTTCTCCCAGCTTCCCCCCGTAGTCCGTATCCGAGTCTATGCCTAGGCTTTCAATAGCTTCTTCCGGCACCCTTTTCGTCCGGCTTTTCCCTAGGCTGTTTGCTAGTTTCTCTCTCCGATATTTTCCCTAGTTCTTCCCGTTTCTTCCCTCCTAAGTTTCATATCCGTCCTAAGTTTCCTATCCGAGTCAGGTTTCCTATCCGAGTCACGTTTCCTATCCGCCCTAGGTTTCCTATCCGAGTCACGGCACCATTATGTCGCTCCCCCTCTTCGTGGAGGAGCAACACAGGACCCTGCGCTGTTCTTTCGTCTGCTCGGCCCTCCCCGGGTTTGCTGCTGGTTCTTCCCGGGGTTTGCTGCTGGTTCTTCCCCGTGGAAGGGCAGTTCCCCCTGGCCACTTTCCCCACTTCCGCAGGGGAGCGGCACACCGCCGGCCGGCTTTCTCGGGGGCTGCACGGGTTCCCTTAGATGTTCCCCATAGATGTTCCTTGTGCATGCCGTCTCTCTCCTCCTTTATAGTCCTCCTCCGCCAATCCCAACTCGGCTGCCCACACGCCGAGTACGCTGCTCTCCTCCAATCAGGAGTACGCTGCTCTCCTCCAATCAGGAGCAAGTCCTACAGTTTATTAGTTGAACTGGAGGCAGCTGTGTGGAAGCTGTTTACTTCTCTCCCAGCGCCATATTGTGGGAGAGCAGATGCATAGAATAAGTCTTAATTCGAGTAACTCAGTCTAGTCCGGATTGCTCCCCACAGAGCTGGATCGAAGTGGAGCAGCTGAGACTCAAACCAGCACCCAAATAGGATACTGGCTAGCCCCAAAACCTCTTTTAAACTACTATGAATTTTTTTCATTATTTAAACTTGCAAGTTTAGGAAAGATAATATATGTAATATTTCCAAAGATAAAATACATAGAAAAATACAACAAATTCTGTTACCAACAGTAATTAATAAAATGGTTAAGCAAATCTTTATTTAGTTTTCAGTGGTAGATATACCTTAGAGAATTCTGTTGTTGGTTTCCTCTACGTCAGTTTTTTCATAGGTTTTCTAGAATATTCATAAGTAGTCTTAGAGGCTCATGTTATACACTGTGTAACTTAAATTGCCTGTAGTTTCATTAATTATTTTAAAAATGCCATTGAAGTGGTAGTGTTGGAGGAATACAAGCTTGCACCAAAGAATGTAGATAGTAAAAACTCACTGATGATCTAATGGTAATACTTAGAGACAGAATTAACACTTTGATTAGTTTGATTCAGTTCTTTGTTCTGGGCCTTAAAAAATGTAACATCCACTCTACGGTTTTATATACTTTTTTCATTTAACATTGTAACAGCATTCCTTCATGTTATTAAATAATGTAAGTTGAATTTTTAGTGACTGCATTATCATCAGATAGCTATTAAGTGATTTATAATTTTTTGCTGATAAATAATTCTGTGTTCAAATTTCTAAATAAAGCCTTTCTGAGACCGTATCCTTGGATAAATTTATAGAAGTAAAATAATTGGTCAAAGGGTAAGATCATCTTAAAGACTTCTGTAAACGTAATAGCTAAAAGTCTGCCAAATGTGTGTGTTTTGGTTTTGTTTTTTAAGATTTCATTTATTTATTTATTTGAAAGAGACATCTTCCATCCACTGGTTCACTCCCTAAATGCCTGTATTAAGCAGGGCTAGGCCACACAGAAGCCAGGAGCCCAGAACTCCATCCAGATCTCCCACTTGAGTGGCAGGGATTCAAGTACTTCAGCTATCATCTGTGCATTTGTTAAGATCAGAAGTGGAGGCACTCAGTTAGGGGATGTTGATATGAGATGAAAAATGCATGCAGCAGTTCAGCCTGCTGGGCCACAATGCCCACCCTCAAGGTGCTTATTTACACCTCTTAGCAGCAGTCAGTGAGGATACTCCTCCTCTTACATCCTGTAACAATTTTGGGGAGAAAGACTTATTTCAGCAGACTACTCAAAACACAGTTAATAAGTTCTGTAACTTTCTTATTTTTATTTATTTATCTAAGAGGCAGAGTTACAGACAGTGAGAGAGAGAGAGAGAGAGAGAGAGAGAGAGAGAGAGAGAGAGATCTTCCATCTGTTACTCCACAAATGGCTGCAATGGCCAGAGGTGGGCCAATTTGAAGCCAGGAACCAGGAGCTTCTTCCGGGTCTCTCAGACAGGTGCAGGGGCCCAAGTGTGTGGGCTTTCTGGCTGTGTGTAGCTTTCCCAGGCTGCAGCAGAGAGTTGGATCAGAAGAGGGGCAGCCAGGACTAGCCATGTGGGATGCTGGTGCTGCAGGCAGAGGCTTAGTCTACTACACCACAGTGCCAGCCAAAAAAAAATTTATTATTTAGGAGTCATAGAGAGATCCTCCATCTGCTGGTTCACTACCCAAGTAACTGCAACAGCCAGCCAAGTCAGACTGACTTTCTAGATTTTATAATAAGCACTTTTAATGAACACACATCTGTTTGCCTTTGGTATTCCAGATTACAAAGGAAGAGAGTAATACTAACATGTATTAAATATATTTTAAAATAAATAAGCACACTTATTGAAAAGTAACAGTGAGGGGCCGGTGCTGTGGCATAGCAGGTAAAGCCGCTGCCTGCAGTGCCAGCATCCCATATGGGCAGTGGTTCAAGTCCCAAATGCTCCATCCACTAGTTCACTCCCCAATTGGCCACAATGGCTGGAGCTGTGCCAATCTGAAGCCAGGAGTCAGGAGCTCTCTCTGTGTAACTCTGACTTTCAAATAAATAAATAAATCTTAAAAAAAGAAAAAAGAAAATAACTAATATATTCCAAATGTAAGGGAAGGTTTCATTTTAAATACTCTAATTACTTTGTCATAGTCCTACTGATTCAAAGTAGTAGAGCTGCTATTGGCAGAGTCAGATCACAGTAGTTTCAGGAGGTGCTGGGTAACAAGCATTTTTAATCTCTTAGGCATAAATTTTTTTTTTACTTTCTTTTTTTTTTTATCTTTTATTTAATGAATATAAATTTCCAAAGTACGTCTCATGGGTTGCAATGGCTTTCCCCCCCATACCGTCCCTCCCACCCACCACCCTCCCCTTTCCCACTCCCTCTCCCCTTCCATTCACATCAAGATTCATTTTCGATTATCTTAGTATACAGAAGATCAGCTTAGTATACCTTAAGTAAGGATTTCAACAGTTTGTTCCCACACAGAAACATAAAGTGAAAAATAATAGATGATTTTTTTTTAAATGATGATGAAATCAGATCAGACCTATTGTCATGTTTAATCCCAGTGAGAGTCAAGTTGGGAATTGATAGTTTCTTTTTTTTTTTTTTTAACAGAAGATCAGTTTAGTGTACATTAAGTAAAGATTTCAATCGTTTGCACCCCATAGAAACACAAAGTGAAATATACTGTTTGAGTACTCGTTATAGCATTAAGCCTCAGTGTACAGCACATTAAGGACAGAGATCCTACATGAGGAGTAAGTGCACAGTGACTCCTGTTGTTGACTTTACAAATTGACACTCCTGTTTATGGCATCAGTAATCTCCCTATGCACCAGTCATGAGTTTCCAAGGCTATGGAAGCCCCCTGAGTTCTCCGACTCTTATCTTGTTTAGACAAGGTCATAGTCAAAGTGGAGGTTCTCTCCTCCCTTCAGAGAAAGGCACCTCCCTCTTTGAAGACCTGTTCTTTCCACTGGGATCTCACTCACAGAGATCTTTTTGCTCTTAGGCATAAATTTGAAAAGTCCACAGCGTGGCTTAGTAACATGAATCCTAACCCAAGAATTCCTGGTGTAGTAGGTTTTGGGTGGGGTTCAAGTGTTTGTATTTCTGACAGGGTCTCGGGTGATGCTGATGCTGTTCTAAATATAACTTAAAAGAATTTTTAAATTTTTTTGGTCAGGAAAGAGAGAAATTACGTGAAGAAAAGCGAAAGTATATGGAATACTTGAAACAATGGAGTAAACCTAGAGAAGACATGGAATGCGATGATCTTAAGGTATAATAAGCATGTTATATGATGTTTGGTACACACATGTTTTATTTGCCCTATGTGACTTTGCTGATGAAACCTTTCTTTTATTTAGTAGCAACCTGTTTACATTTAACTGAGAGGAAATAGCCAGTTAAGCAAATGTTTATACTTAGAATTCCAAGGAAGCATTGTTAGTGTTTTATAACAAGCTTTGATAATGATTCTTAATTCTACAAACATAATTTGTCAATTTGTATGATCCTTGATAATCTAAACCTCCATAGCCAGGCACACATTTTACTTGATCGCTAGTTAGGGATTCTGCCTATTTCCAGAAATGACTGAAGTATCCAAACCAAGCCCAATTATCTCATTTTATAAGATGCCATTTCTAAATTTATAGGTGGTGGATTAATTATGTTCTGTCATAAGAAAAAATTGCATTACAAATAATAATTGCACAGTTAATTTGACTTCAAAACCTAGGTTGAGATCCTCTTATACACTTCAACCTAAAGTTATATTCTTTTTTTAAAAAAAGAAAAAGTTATTTATTTGAGAGGCAGAATTACAGGCAGAGAGAGGGAGAGGCAGAGAGGTCTTCCATCCGCTGATTTCACTCTTCAAATGGCCACAATGGCTGGAACTGAGCTGATCTGAAGTCAGGAGCCAGGAACTTCTTCCAAGTCTCCCATGGGGGTGTAGGGGCTCAAGCACTTGAGCTGTTTTCCACTGCTTTAGCAGGGAGCTGGATCAGAAGTGGAGCAGCCAGAACTCAAACCGGTGCCCATATGGGATGCTGGTGCTGCAGGTGGAGGCTTAACCTACTGCTTCACAGTGCTAGCTCCAAAGTTATATTAGTTTGAGGAGGAAAAATGTCCCTTTCTCCCAGTCCTTTTGGTAAAATTGAAATAAGTCTTAAGAGTTCCAAAAGTTATTGTGCTCAACATCTAAGGTAAAAATCAATAGTCTACATAGAATAGTTCTTACTAGATAAAGAATATATTGTGTCTACCATTTGAAATTTCCTGTACATGGTTTAAATAGTTACATAAATTACTTAACTTTGCAGGAACTTCCAGAACCAACTCCAGTGAAAACTAGGCTACCTCCAGAAATCTTCGGTGATGCTCTGATGGTTTTGGAGTTCCTTAATGCATTTGGGGAACTTTTTGATCTTCAGGATGAGTTTCCTGAGGGAGTAACCCTAGGCAAGTATTCTGGTTATCTGTTTCAGTGTTATAGTTCACCCTAAAATTGAATTGGTTGGTTAAAAAAAAAAATTCTCTAAGGGGCTGGTGCTGTGGCACAGTGGGTTAAAGCCATGGCCTGCAGCACCAGCATCCCATGTGGGCAACAGTTCAAGTACTGGCTACTCCAGTTCTGATCCACCTCCCTGCTAATGTGCTTGGGAAAGCAGCAGAAGATGGCTTAAGTCCTCAGGCCTCTGCACGCACATGGGAAACAAGGAAGAAGCTCCTGGCTCCTGGCTTTGGCCTGACCCAGCCCCCATCATTGCGGCTATTTGGGACATGAACCAGCATATGAAAGATCTCTCTGTGTAACTCTTCCTTTCAAATAAATAAATCTTTAAAAAAAAAAAAAAAAGCACACTCTCAATGTTCTGCAGTGTCGTTGGTCTTAGCTGTCTGGTTCTCCATTTGGGTGACTAAGTGGTTGATAGTAACACAGCAGCTTGAGACTGCAATCCGTAGCATCACCTGGCCAGCTGTCAAGATGGCTTCTTCATGCATGCACATGTGACCAGAAGCAGAAACTGCCAGTCCTCTTAAAGGCTAGACCTAGAACTGGCCCTGCCTTACTGCTGCTGCACCCCATTGGTTAGGGCAGTTACAGTCCTCCTGGGATTCCTCCTGGAGGAATAGAATCCTTCAGTGGACGGTGTGGTATGTTGGTTTGCAGATGAGTTATTGCCTAACTAATTTGTAAGTCTGTTGTTATGTAAGGGTTTTTTTTTTTTTTTCAAGATTTATTTTATTTATGTGAAAGGCAGTCACAGAGAGGGGAAGAGAAAGAGAGATCTTCCATCCTCTGGTTCACTCCCCAAATGGCCACAATGGCCAGGACTGGCCCCAGACCAAAGCAAGGAGCCAGGAGCTTTATCCAGGTCTCCCACATGGGTGCTGGGGCAGGGACTTAGACCATCTTCTGCTGCTTCCTCAGGCACATTAGAGAACTAGATTGGAAGCAGAACAGCTGGAACTCAAATCAGCACCCATATGGGATGCTGGCATTATAGATGGCAGAGTAACCTAAGTCACAACTCCAGCCCAATATATAAATATTTATAGTAGAATTTAATGAGGGATTTGCATCAAAGTTTGAATTTTTAGCTATTAAATAGAAAAATAATTTCCTTTTTTTTTTTAAAAAAAGATACATTTATTTATTTGAAAAACAGAAAGCTTCCATCTGTTAATTCACTCCCCCAAATAGCCCAGAGTAAAGCCAGAGCCAGGGAAAACATGCCTCCCATTTAGGTGGCGGGGGCCCACGCACTTGGGCCATCTTCTGCTGCTTTCCCAGGTGCATTAGTAGGGAGCTGGTTTGGAAGTATTGTAACTGGGACTCAAACGGATACTCATATGGGATGCCAGCATTGCAAGTAGCAGCTCATTCCACTGCACCACAGGGCCGGCCCCAAAAATAATTTTCTTATGATCCATGTAGAGACCCTCCAAAACAGAGTACATGTATTCTTTAGATGGGCTCTCAAACTGTTTATCCTTATGAGCTAGGTGAGGCAAGTTCATAGTGTCTTTTTTTTTTTTTAATATTTTATTTATTTGAGAGGTAGAGTTGCAGACAGTTAGAGGGAGAAACAGAGAAAGGTCTTCCATTCACTGGTTCACTCCCCAAATGGCCGCAATGGCCAGAGCTGCGCCGATCCAAAGCCAGGATCAGCCAGTGCTTCCTCCCAGTCTCCCAAGCTGGTGCAGAGGCCCAAGCACTTGGGCGATCTTCTACTGCTTTTCCAGGCCACAGCAGAAAGCTGAATCAGAAGAGGAGCAGCTGGGACCAGCACTGGTGCCCATATGGGATGCCGGTGCCGCTGGTAGAGGATTAACCTACTGTGCCAGGGCGCCGTCCCCAGCAAGTCATAGTGTCTTGCAGACCAGAAAGGTCTAAACAGTGCTGATGCAGGAGCTAAGGAAGAAATATGTATTTATCACTTGGACACGATGCTAGAATTAAAACCTAATGATGATAATTACCTCTCCTAGGCGCTATTGGATAAACAGTAATGTCCCATGTTATCCTCAAAAAATGAGAATAATACAAATAGTTGCATTATTACTCAAATTAGAATAAAATTAACATTTTTAAATTTATACCTCAATTTGAAATATAGATTGAATAGAGCATTGGTCTATTGGCTATTTTGGCTTTTTTGAATGCAGTGGCTTTGGCTTATGATGTTGTATTTTATTGGAATAATTTTGAAGTATTTTTTATCTTTGATTTCTTTCATAAATGAACACTTAATAAAATAGTTGTGAAGCTATTGTTAAGTTAAATGTTTGCTATTCTGGCAGGATTTTTTTGGGGGGGGGGTGTATGAACAGAACTTTAAATTTTTTTTAAACATTTTGTTCACAGAAGTGTTAGAGGAAGCTCTTGTAGGAAATGACAGTGAAGGCCCACTATGTGAATTGCTTTTTTTCTTCCTGACTGCAATCTTCCAGGCGATAGCTGAAGAAGAAGAGGAAGTAGCCAAAGAGCAAATAACTGATGCTGACACCAAAGGTCAGAGTTCAACATTATTGCTGATTAAACAAATGTAGCTTTGTAATGAAACTGATTTATTAAGATTATTTTAAGATTAACTGGCTTTTATAGTTAGAAATAAAATTGTTCAGATTATCTGTTGCTGAGTCATATACTAACAACATTATTATCAGTTGTTTCATTAGAAAGTTTATTTTCATGTAATCTGCATCTTGGAGACATTTTCTACCAGTCTATATTGCTTTTATTCCTTTAGATGGTTCCTGTGATTTTAGGAGCATTATAGATCTCATTGATGAGGAGCAGTAAAGAGATTCTTCAGAATAGCCCTGATTTTTTTTTTTTTCTGTCTTACCCAACTTGGGGAAATGCTTTGAATACTCTAAAGTGAAAGTGCTGTTATTGATTTCATCTCAGATCTGACAGTTTTTAGAGCAGAGCTAAGAAAATTTTTTTATTTCACTAATTATTGTGAACTAGAAATTTTGCTGTTTAAATTCTGTATTCTTAACTATAGTGTGTAATACATGTTAATGTAGGAATAAATTCAAGGACATAAACAATGCTTAAGTATATTTTACATAAAAATTCACTATAATAAATAATTTAAGGGAGATGCGTTGATAGCAGAATGTTGCTACAAAAAGATGAACCATTCCTCCATTCAGATAGCTGGCATGGCATCAGATAATTTGAGACCATTTTCCTTTATGCCCTGGCTTCTGAAGCAACACAATATTGATGCATATGTACTTGATACTGGCTGCCTTTTGATTTTATGGCCTGAATTCTCAAGCAGAATGTATTCTCTAGCTTGTGCTAATATAATGGGTCCCTTAGCAAGGTCATTTTAGCAATGTGAACCCTATTGTCATCTTAGGTAAGCTACCCTATTAAAAGAGAATGTTCAATCTCTAGCTGTTACGTTAGCTCAGTAATTGTCAGCAGTATTATAGGGTTATTGATCAAGTTCTGACCTTAATCCAAAGCATAAAGTTGTATTTAATTCTGGACCTGAAGCAGATGAATTTAGTAATTTTTGGAAGACCTGATTGGGGGGAAAAAAGAGGAATGAAAAAGAAATTATGTTGGAAAATGAGCTAGGATGCTAGGATAAAGGAAATTGTTGGTGTTTATTGTTATATTTGCTATTCATGATTTGATCTGTGATTTTTATAGCTCTACTGTACAAAAGTATCTTGAAATATAAGGTCTGTCTTTTTAAAAAAGTTGGCCACTAAATGAAGGTTTTAATGCTCCTTTTAGAAATATTTATTTATTTGTTAAGGAGAAACAAAATCATAGTTTGGCATTTTTCACCGATCTTTCACTTCCCTATTATTGGTACAGTTCACATGAAGTCTCTGTTTCAGTAAAGTCCCTGGATTGTTCCCCCAGGTATAACTTGATTTTTCCTCATATGTCCTCCCATCTCAGTAATAAAAAAGCTTTTCCATAATCTTCTTGGAGGCAGTAGAATAGTCAGATGGGATTGAATGTTCTTCTACTACTTCTTTTTTTGTTTTGTTTTGTTTTGTTTGAAAGTCAGAGTTACACAGAAAGAGGAGAGGCAGAGAGAGAGAGAGAGGTCTTCCATCTGCTGGTTCACTCCCCAGTTGGCCACAATGGCCAGAGCTGCGCCGATCTGAAGCTAGGAGCCAGGAATTTCTTTTCGGTTTCCCACACAGATGCAGGGGCCCAAGGACTTGGGCCATCCTCTACTGCTTTCCCAGGCCATAGCAGAGAGCTGCATTGGAAGCAGATCATCCAGGACTCAAACCAGCTCCCATATGGGATACTGGCACTGCAGGTGAAGGCTTTACCCGCTGTGCCATAGCGCGGCCCCTCTTTTGCTTCTTAGATGATCCTATCAGTAAGGTGTTTCATGCTATTTCAAGCAAGGGGAAAACAGTACAAAAGAGAAAGGGATGAATTTATCTTAGTGATGACAAAACTGAGGTTCATTGAGGTTATTTACTCAAGCTCACATAACCAGTAAATGATGTGAGCTACTAAGATGTGCAAACTACTCTCATGAGGTAGTTGTAATTATCTTCTGCATTTTGCATATCAAGAAACTGAGACTTAGCTCAAAGAAGCACAGCTGATAAGGATGGGATACAAACTCAGTTGTAGAGCCTGTTAATAGCTAGATTGTATTGCTTCTAAGTAGGTAACAAGGTAGAAAGTTTCAATATTTGTTTTCCTAGTACTGCTTATACAACAACTATCTGTTTTCAAGGAGATCTCTGACCCTTTGGCTCTATTTTGATATCAAATTTCTGAAACTTTGACTTGCAGTTTTAAAAATTTTGTACTGAATATGTCCATTCTTCTGTTAGTCTGACATCATGAGCTTAAAAATCTCTCAAAGTATAGGAAAAAGAGCATCCTCCTTATGTAGTTTTCTGTATTTGCTGGATATCATTGTTTAAAGTTTTAAAAATGTATGTACATGAGTCTATATTATAATGCTAATAAATGTATCTGTCTCAAATAGTCATATCCTACTAGATACAGTTCAGCTATATTTTCTTGGTATAAAGTACCAAAGTGACTAACTATAAGTAAATCCTACACTATTTAGTTTTATAACAGTACCATATAATAGATAATGGAAATAAAGAATGTATTTTAGCAATTTATTTAGCACAACTAAAGATAAACTGCCTCTTCAGTGGTAGATCATTTCCTTAGGCCTTTAAGGCCTTTGTTCTAGGAAATTATAATTCTCCACAGATAGTGTAGGTTAAAAGCGGTGATTGCTGCTATGAAAGAGAGCAGTCATACTTTTACTGCTGTGTATCTAGGACTGTTAGCTTTAGAGTGCCTATGAAGTTTGTTTGGCTTCATGTGTAATTGGGTAGGTCTAGGATTTCCCTGGTGAGGAAAAATTCAGTATCTGTCATTTGGGCTAGATTAGGCCTGGTAAAAATGACTTTGGTGTATGCGCATCCGCAAAGTATAGTCAGGTAATTTCTGTATGGTCCTGTCTCTGGATTGAATATCATGAAATTGACTACTTGAAATCAGACATGATCCCAGAGCCACATTTTTCCTTAGTAAAGGACAGCAGTTCTATTCTCTGAGGTTAATCAACCTTCAAAGTTTGATAGGGGAAATCATATGATGGAAGATGAAGGAAACGCAGAACCAGATTAGCCCAGCGATTTTCAAACTTTAATTCAAAGTGCTCTACAAGTTGTTCAGACGCCCGAGGGTCACTATAGGGGAGCTGGAATGATGACCTGGCCGGATTCTCATCCTCTCATCTACTGTCACAAGGCCATCTTTTATCTCTTTTGTGTTGAGCTTCTAAAAAATGCTTTGTTTGAAGAATTTGAAAACTGCTGATCTAGACTCACCCTTTTAGAAAAAATGAAGCCTAGATTAAGTGATTTGTCTCCAGGGGATCTCATTAGTCAATGGCAGAACTAAGACTATGATACATGTTATCTGACTCTTAGTCTGAAGCTGTGTACACCACACTTAAAATATCACAGTATATTCATAAAATACAGGGAAATCTTTCTATTATATTTTGATTGGAGGCTTCTTAAAATAAAATATTGGACTTTTTAATGAAGATAAATTAGTGACAGCATGCTGTCTTTAAGCTCTTAGCTATTTTTCTGTGAAGATTTTGTGATGTTTATAACCCATATTTGGTTATGGTTTGATCTGAAACATTTTGTTTTGGAACATATAAGCGCATTTTGTTGGTCTTCTCTATTTTATGACAGGAAAATGTAAGTGTGTAGTGCATGTTTTAGGATTGATACTTGTAGGTGCAGACTGGACAGAATATGAATGTATCTAGTGTTGATTCTTCTGAGGTTCCTGAATGTTAAGCTGTTTGCTGTTTGTTTCATCATTTTAAAGGGCCTTATTCCCAAATATTCAAGCTTTGATTTGCACTAGAATAAAGTATTTATTTCCTTAAAGATTTAACAGAGGCTTTGGATGAAGATGCAGACCCCACAAAATCTGCACTGTCTGCAGTTGCATCTTTGGCAGCTGCATGGCCACAGTTACACCAGGGTATGTGTGGGTTTTATTTTTTTGTTTCGCTTTTTATTTTCAATTTATAAAGGTACATTTTACATCACTGAATAATTATTTATATTCTAAATGACTGTTTCATTTTTAACAACTATAGGCTGCAGTTTGAAAAGCTTGGATCTTGACAGCTGCACTCTCTCTGAAATCCTCAGACTGCATATCTTAGCCTCAGGCGCTGATGTTACATCAGCAAATGCAAAGTACAGATACCAGAAGCGAGGAGGATTTGATGCTACAGATGATGCCTGTATGGAGCTTCGCTTGAGCAATCCCAGTCTAGTGAAGAAACTGTCAAATACTTCCGTGTATGATTTGACTCCAGGTAAACTTTACAGATTGCCACTTCTTACTTTCTTAAATCTCTATGTCCAGAAAAGTAATGTGGCTGGTGAGAAATCCTAATGAGTCAGTTTTTAAACTTTTTAAAGATTTATTTATGATTTTTTTTTATTTGAAAGAGTTACAGAGAATGGGAGAGACAGAAAGAGAGATCTTTCATTTTCTAGTTCATTCTCCAAATGGTTGCTATAGCTGGGACTGCTCCAGGCCAAAGCAAGGAGCCCAGAACTCCATCCAGGTCTCCCAGATCAGTGGCAGAGGCCCAAGTACTTGAGAGCCATCTTCCAGGGCCTTCCCAGGAACGTTAGTAGGAAGCTGTATTGGAAGCAAAGTAGCTGGGACTCAAACCAGCACTAATATGAGATGCTGGTATCATGTGCTGTGCCTTAACTTGTTGTACCACAACACAGGCCCTTTTTTGGCATTTTTACATAGATTAACAAAATTTTTCAAACAGTTTTTTTTTTTGTCATCAATGATACAGAATTTATTTACCACTTTTTTACAGGAGAAAAAATGAAGATACTTCATGCTCTCTGTGGGAAGCTACTGACCCTAGTGTCTACTAGGGATTTCATTGAAGATTATGTTGATATATTACGACAGGCAAAGCAGGAGTTCCGGGAGCTAAAAGCAGAACAGCATCGAAAAGAGAGGGAAGAAGCAGCTGCTAGGTAAGAGATAGTCATGCTAATCAAAGGTGTTTAACCATATTTTACAATCTGTTACAGTGTAGCATTGACTTACACTAGTATTTGATGGCTTTATAAAAAGATTGTGAATAAATCACTGTATCATGGTTTTATAATATGCTTTGAAACACTTTCCACAATTTGATAATTAAAGGCAAGATGCTAAAAATTAAATGTCTTTGCATCATGTAGACTATAACAGTTTATTTTAACTTTCAGAATCCGTAAAAAGAAGGAAGAAAAGCTTAAGGAGCAAGAACAAAAAATGAAAGAGAAACAAGAAAAACTGAAAGAAGATGAGCAAAGAAATTCTGCTGCAGAAATATCCATAGGGTATGGTTTGAACATTATTCATCTTAACATACACAAAAAATAAAAATCAAACACCTTAAACTCAAACGCTTTCAAATGTTTAAAAAAAAAAGTTCCTTTTTTTTTTTTTTTTAATTTAATTTTATCTGAAAGGCAGAGTGCCAGAGAGAGCTATTCCATCTACCAGTTCACTTATCAAATGACCACAACAGCCAGGGTTGGGCCAGGCTGAATCCAGGAGCCTGGAACTCCGTCCTGGTCTCCCAGATGGGCAGCAGGGCCGAAGCACATGGGCTGTTCTCCATTGCCTTCCCAAGCACATTAGCAGGGAGCTGGATCAGAAGCAGAGTACCCAGGACTCTAACCCATGCTCAGTTAAGATTGCAAGCCATGGCTTAACCCACAGATGGCTGGTTCCAAAAAAAAGCAGTCTTCTATAGGTACATGATAATTGTGTTAGCAAACCTGTCAAGACAGTCCTCAAGTGTATGCGTTAAACATTCAAAAAAGGGACCAGCACTTTGGCATAGTAGGTTAAGCTTCTGTCTATGGCACCAGCATCCCATATGCATGCCGGTTCTAGTCCTGGCTACTCTACTTCCAATCCAGCTTTCTGCTAATGTGCCTGGGAGAGCAGTGGAGGGTGGCCCAAGTGCTTGGGCCTTTCTGCGCCCATATGGGAGACCCCAAAGGAGCTCTTTGCTCCTGGCTTCAAATCACCCCAGCTGTTGTGGCCATTTGGAGAGTGAATCAGTGGATAGAAGACCTTTCTCTCTGTCCCTCCCTTCTCTGTCTGTAACAGCCTCTCAAATGAATGAATAAATAAATAAATCTTTTAAAAAAAAAAGTGGTAACAACCCAAATGTCCATTAGTTGATGAACAGATAAAAAAAAATGGATTCCTTTCTGTGATATAACTGTACAAGAGAATACTACTTAGCAATAAAAAGGAGTGGGGTTTTAATAAATGCTACAATGTGGATGGATTTTGAAAGTATTTTTCTAAGTTAAAGACACTAATCAAATAAGACCCCATGTCACATAATTTCATTTAGGTGAAATGGTCAGAACAGACAGATGTATAGAGATAGAAAGTAGATGAGTGGTTGCCAAGAAGCAGCAGAATATGAAGAAATGGGAAATGATTATAGGTGGATATAGGATTTTTCTTTTGGAATGCTGAAAGTGTTCTGGAATTAGATCATGATAATGATTGTTAACCTTGTGAATATACAAAAAATTACTTAATTGTAATATTATAAATGGTGATTTTTATTATATGTAAATTATGTCTCAGTTCTTTAAAAAGAAAGAAGCATGGTATAGATTCCACTTCATATTTCTTATAGTTGACCAGCCTCACTTTTTTATATCTGGCTCCTGCATACACCTGAGCTTGCAAAACTCCACTTTGGATAGGGAACATAAATAGTAGAATGTATTTCCAGGCTCGTGTGATTTTAGTTTTAATTTAGATAACATACTAGAGAAAACATATGGTATTCACTCTGCCTCCTGAGATCTGTCTGAAACTTGTCTGCTTTTCTCCTCCTGGTTTGTCTGTTTATTCCTTCCTATTCTGAACTGCCTAGCCAACCACCTGCACTAGGAAAGTGCCTTCTTTTCTTGGTTCCCCCCATCTACTTTTTCTGCCAGATAATTTTCCACATAGCAACCAGGGTGCTTTCTAATCAATCAGTCATACTTTCCTTTTCTAAATACTTCAGATTTTTTCCCCATTGCTTTTTGGATAATTCCCTACAAGCCACCGCATAACATAACCTTTCATTTTTTTTCTCATCTGTATCTTGAATTACTACTTTTTCATTTCTGCTTTCTTCAAAATTACAAGCTCACTCTTTTTCTTTTAGCTTCTCTCCTGCCTGCCCACTCTTTGCCAGGCTCCCTGGTGTCACAATTTAACATCACTTCTTTAGGCTAGCAGGCTTTCTTAATCTCTAAAACTTGACTTGACTCTTCTTGAAATGCTAGTACTTTCAAGATCTGCTTCAGTACTTTCTAATTTTAATATGCTTTATATAGTTATCCATTTTCTCTGCAAGACCATAAACTCTGTGTCATGTTGTTTTCTACTTCCTAAACATAATGCCTGGTACTTCATACATAGGCAATAAATGTTTCATGAGTAAAATTATATTCATTAATAAATGTAATCTGTTTTTATCCTAAAGGGAGGAAGAAAGGGAATATTTTGATACCAGCACTGAGAGCAAAGAAATAGAGCAAAAAGAACTAGATCAAGATACAGTCACTGAAGATGAAGATGACCCTGGATCACATAAAAGAGGCAGAAGGGGTAATAATGGAATTTCTTAAGGGCATGCTTGTTTATTTTTAATTGATAAGGCACTATATTAATTCAGCTACTTTGAAATTGATGATTTGTGATTCCAAATATATGTTCTTTTGATTCCAGGGTGCATTTTCTTATAAATACACACCTCATAGATATGTTGAGTTGTAAAAATTGTGACTATTTTGTGAGGAGATGAAATTATAAAGTTATATTAATATATTTGTGATTATTAGGTCTTTATTCATATGTAATTTGTACCTTAGGGAAGAGAGAGAACATTCCTGTCTCATTTATGTCAGTTCCTTGTAACTTCAACTTTTAGTCAGCAAGTTTTGCTGAGCTTTTGCATTTACTACTTCATGTGTTTTATTATTTTTTATGATTTTTTTTAAGATTTATTTATTTATTTGAGAGAAAGAGTTAACAGAGAGAGGAAAGGCAGAGAGAGAGGTCTTCCATCTGCTGGTTCACTCATTAGCTGGCCACAATGGCTGGAGCCGCGCTGATCCAAAGCCAGCAGCAGGAGCTTCCTCCGGGTCTCCCATGCGGGTGCAGGGGCCCAAGGAATTGGGCCGTCTTCCACTGTTTTCTCAGGCTATAGCAGAGAGCTGGATTGGAAATGGAGTAGCCAGGACTCGAACCTGGTGCCCACATGGGATGCCAGCACTGCAGGCGGCAGCCCCAACCACTGTGCCACAGCTCCGGTCCTGATTTCTTTATTTTGAAAGTCAAAGTTAGAGAGAGGGAAAGACAGAGAGAGATCTTCATCGACTCGTTCACCCCACAGATGGCCTCAATGGCCAGGGCTGAGCCAGGCTGAAGTCAGGACCTAGAAGTTCCATCCAGGTCTTCTATGTAGGTGCAGGGGCCCAAGTCCAGTACCAATTTCCACTGCTTTCCCACGTACATTAGCAGGGAACTGGATTGGAAGTGGAGCAGCCTGGACTTGAACCAGGGCTCCAATATGGGATGCTGTCATTGCAGGTTGCAGCTTAGTCTACTGCATTAAAAAGTCATCTCTGATAAATAAATTTTTTAAAAAATGGAACAATAGAGAAGAAAAAAGACAAAAGTTCTTTTGGAAAAGAAACTTAGACAACCTTTGTTGAAAGTGATTTTTTATAAGAGAGGGGATCAATAAAAATTAGAACTAAAAAGGGGAACAGCATAACTATAGATACAGTAGAAATATAAGTTACAGAAAGGTACAGTTTTCTGGCAATAAATTTGAAAATACAAGCAAAAATTGAAGTGAATCCTAGAAAAATAGCAATGATCCAAATGGATCTGTGAAGACGTTTTAAAATGTGAATGATCCCAAACATTAAAGTATTTGATTCACAGTGCTGGCATTGTAGCACAGCAGGTTAAGCTACTGCATCCCCATATGGATGTCAGTGGAAGATGACCTGAGTACTTTGGTCCTTGCCACCCATGTGCTAGACCTGGATGGAGTTCCAGGCTCTTGGCTTTGGCCTGGCCCAGCCCCCGCTGTTGTGGCCATTTGGGGAGTGAACCAGTGAATGGGAGAACTCGGTCTCTCTCTCTCTCTCTCTAATTCTACCTTTCAAATAAATAAATAATATTTTAATAGATTCAGCACTAAAAGTCTTCCTACAAAGAAAAACATCAGACTTTGCTTTCTGAGTAAATACTTCCAGATTTCAAAGAAATTGATAAATCCATCTTCACAAACTATTTTAAGCAAAAACAATAGAAGGAATATTCTCCTATTATTTAAGCAGTTTAATGGCTACGAAAACGAGAAAAGTTTAGTTCTCCAACGTATTGTAAAAGTCCCAACAGCTCATTAGTGGTCCAAGCTCTTCTATGTTGTTGGTACTCCCTTTCTTAGGATTTTGTTGCTATTCTCATGTTCCAACGTTATTTATCACCATGTCTCCATTTTAGCTAGTTGGAAAGGGGAAAAGAAGAAAGGAAATAGGACCCAGAAGTTACATAAGTTACACAGACAGCCTCTGCTCCCACCTCTGAGCAGAGGTTCTTCATGGAGTCAAGCCTCCTGTGGGAAAGGGTATCCTTTTGGATTCCAAGATGCCTATCTTAAAATTAGTGGTTTTGTTACCTTAAAGTGTTGGATAGAAAATGACAGCTTGTGCACCAAATCTGGCTTGCCCTTGCCCTCTGTTGTTATAGACTTCATAGGCTAAAAATTTTCAAATAATTGAAAAAATGAATCGGGGGAATGATCTTAAATGTCCATGAATGAGGTTTTATTGAACACAGTCAAGCTCATTAATCTATATATTGTCTAGTACTGCTCTTACATCATAATGGCAGAGCTGAGTGGTTGCGACAGACCCTGTGACCCACAGAGCCTAACGTATTTACTAGCTAGCTCAGGTAGTTTGCTGATCCTTACCTTAAAAGAAGGGCTATGTGGCTGTTACAGGTAACTAATAGACTGTGCTCTTCAGTGTGCACATAACAGATTTTGCATGTTCCTCTAGACTGAAGGGTATCGGTTTCTTATAGTGTCTTAGTCTACTCAGACTGCATACCAACAACAGAGATCTGTTTTCTCATAGTTCTGAAGGCTGGAAGTCCAAGATCAGGTGCCGGCAGGGTTGGTGTCTGGTGAGGTCTCTGACTGGCTTGCAGATAGCATCTTCTTGCTGTGTCCTCAGATGACTTTTTCTCTGTGTATACCGAAGAGTGAGCGCTCTGGTGTCTCCTCCAATTCTTATGAGGACACCAGGCCTGGCAGATTAGGGCTGCACCCTGTGACTTCGTTGGACTTTAATTTTCTCCTTAAAGGCACTGTCTCCAAATGACATCACACTGGCAGTGCTTCAGCAGCATGAATAGGGGTAGGTCACAGTTCAGCCTCTAACAGTAATAACTTGGGGTAACTTTGTATCTCGTGTTTTTCTAGTGAAAATTTCAAACATATGACAGTGATAAATGTTTTTTCAGCTACAGGGAAAAGAGATCAAAGTGGATTTAAAGAACTTATCAAGCAAGAAGAGATCAACTGTGTAACAGGAGAGCCTCTTAATACTGATGAGGAAGAAGCTTTAAAACAGGAACACCAACGAAAAGAGAAAGAGCTTTTAGAAAAAATCCAAAGTGCCATAGCATGCACCAATATCTTTCCCCTGGGCCGTGACCGCATGTATAGACGATACTGGATTTTTCCTTCCATTCCTGGATTGTTTATTGAAGAGGATTATTCTGGTCTCACGGAAGACATGCTGTTGCCTAGACCTTCATCATTTCAGAGTAATGTACAGTCTCAGGATCCTCAGGTATCCACCAAAACCGAAGAGTCTTTGAAGTCTGAACCTACCTCCAACGTTGACCAAGGTCTGTGTGATGATTCTGTGCAGCTGCCAAAACCAGTGCATAAGCCAAATCGGTGGTGCTTTTACAGTTCTTGTGAACAACTGGATCAGCTTATTGAAGCCCTTAATTCTAGAGGACACAGAGAAAGTGCCTTAAAGGAAACTTTGTTGCAAGAGAAAAGCAGAATATGTGCACAGCTAGCCCGTTTTTCTGAAGAGAAATTTCATTTTTCAGGTATAGTTTCAGTGAAAACTATTTCTTTTATTTTTTCTTCTGCAGTCACCAGTCATTGAGTAAACATTTTTTGTGATGATTAGAAGTCCATTTAAAACACCTCATCTTCATTTTGACCCTGCTTTCAATTTGCAAGTTAGAATTTAGGAATCTGTCTTTTTTGTGAGACAGAGCTCCCATCCACTGGCTTACTCTCCAGATGCCCACAGTGCTTGAGGTGGGGATGGGGAGTGCTGAAGCTAGGAGCTGGGAACCTTGTCCAGGTCTCCCGCATGAGTGGCAGGGATCCAGCTGCTTGAGCCATCGCCACTGCCTCCTAGGGCCTGCAAATTCCACTGGGGTCTGTTTTGAAAACGAGGAACACATTTGCTCATGTAGTGAGAAACAGTACACATTCTTCCTGTTCTCATTCCTTGGTCAATAGACTGAATGTCCAAAGCTCTAAGGCTGCCATCAGTTTTGGAGATAGTATAGTAGGAATGAGGTTACTCACTAAGCATTTTAGCTGACGGTTCCAGGACAGGTTCCATAAATGATCACTTTTATGGAGATTGGTTGCAGTGGGAGATCAGGTAGCAGCAGCATTTCCTATTTGATGGCTGATCCAATGAGGATAGAGAAAGCAGTTGATATTTTTTATATTGTTAAATGAGATTCTTTTGGTTCAGAACCGCTTATATTTAGAATCAGTTTACTGTGACTTTTTCAGTTCTTCCTAGGATTAAAAACCATAGCAAATAATTCCTTCTTTTTGAAAAATAGCTTTAACATACTGTCTAATTACCTACATAAAGTTAGAATTCGGGAGTAGATGTTCAGTGCAGCAGTTAAAATACCGCTTGGGACATCTGTATCAGTGCCTGGATTTCAGTTGTAGCTCTGCTATCAGTTCCATCTTTCAACTAATGTGCACACTGGGAGACAGAAAGTGATGACTCAAGTATTTGCATCCCTTCCACCCACATGGAAGACCCAAGTTGAGTTCTCAGCTCCTGTTTGGCCCAGCTCTGGACGTTGTGGGCATTTGTAGAGTGAACCAACAGATGGGAAGTGGTGTGTGTGTTTCAAATAAATACTTCTAAGGTGCAAGTGTTACTACATTCCATTTTAGGACAGTTTTATCACCCAAGAAGACAATAACCCTGTACCATTGGCAGTCTCACTTCCCCTCAGTCCCTTGCAACCATAACTATCTCTATAGATCACCTTGTATGTATATAACACATTTTACTTACCCATTTGTTAGTTGATAGATATTTTGTTTCTACATTTTGACTGTTATGAATAATGCTACTATACACATTCACATTTAAGTGTTTATGTCAACATAGATTTTCATTTATTCTGAACACATACCCAAGAGTAGAATTGCTGGAAACTGGTTAATCCTTTGAGAAACTGCTAGATTGTTTCCCAGAACAGCTGCACTATTTTATTTTCCCTCCCCAGTGTATGAGGACTGCAATTCCTCTATGACCTTGCTGACACTTACCTGATTTTTATTACAGATATCCTACTGGGTATGAAGTGGTACTTCATTGTGGTTTTGATTAATGATGTTGAATACATTTAAGTGAACTTATTGGCCATTTGTATATCTTCCTTAAAGAAAAGTCTACTCAGTTCCTTGGCCCATTTTTAAACTGGGTTATTTGTCACTTTCTTAAATTATAAGAGTTCATTCTGGATAAAAGTCTTTTACAGATGCATGATTTGCAAGTATTTATTTTTTATTTTTGGTACTTGAGGATTTACAGAGTGCTTTTTTTTCGTTATCTCAAAATTATAACAGTCACATAGGATAGTTGTAGTTTTAATAAAATCATAATGGAAGTATTTGATTACTGTTGTAGACAAACCTCAAGCTGATAGCAAACCTCTGTGTACTCGGGGAAGATCTTCCAGTGCATGTGATCCATCTCAGATGTCTGCAGAAAGGCAACTTGAACTGAGACTGAGAGACTTTCTTTTGGATATTGAAGACAGAATCTATCAGGGAACATTAGGAGCAATCAAGGTTTGTACCTTTCCCCATTTTTAGTGTATACAATTTGTGTGTTCTAGGATTTTGATCATATTTGTTCATTACTTGATATGTAAGTCACCTGTATTTTGAATAAACACCAGGGAATGATTTTTTTTAATGAAAATGTAAGTTTATGCTCCTGCATAAAATGTTTATATATAAATATATACTTTCTTAAATATTTTGAATGTCAGTTTTCTTAAACAGAATTTAATGGCCGGCGCCACAGCTCACTAGGCTAATCCTCCACCTAGCGGCGCCGGCACACCAGGTTCTAGTCCTGGTTAGGGTGCCAGATTCTGTCCCGGTTGCCCCTCTTCCAGGCCAGCTCTCTGCTGTGGCCCGGGAGTGCAGTGGAGGATGGCCCAAGTACTTGGGCCCTGCACCCCATGGGAGACCAGGAGAAGTACCTGGCTCCTGCCATCGGATCAACGCAGTGCACCAGCCGCAGCACACTGGCCGCGGCGGCCATTGGAGTGTGAACCAATGGCAAGAGGAAGACCTTTCTCTCTGTCTTTGTCTCTCACTGTCCACTCTGCCTGTCAAAAAAAAAAAAGAATTTAATATAGTACAAATATGCTGTATGATATTGTCACCAGATGTTGGAAATGTTAAGGATATTTTCTTCTTCCTGAGTACCTCTTGTCCTCTCAGCTAATCTGATTGATTTGTTAATGTCTTCATTACATTTTTAAAAATCTATGAGTCATACTTGATATATGTGTTCAGTTCATGCCTTTGCAGTCATGACAGTCTTTGCTATTGTCAAGTGATCATACAATTGTTGATGCTTCTTTTATAGAGAAAGTTGGGTATTAAAGCTGTCATCTGTGAGTGATATGAATTCCATTAATTCCATTTTGGCCACTTAATAACCTTATTTTTAGATCCTTTTTTGTTTTATTCAGAATCTGTTTTAGAATAAGGATTTTTTTTTAATTTATTTTTATTTTTATTTTTATTTTGGACAGGCAGAGTTAGACAGTGAGAGAGAGACAGACAGAGAGAAAGGTCTTCCTCTTGCCATTGGTTCACCCCCTAAGTGGCCGCTACGGCTGGTGCATTGCACTGATCCGAAGCCAGGAGCCAGGTGCTTCCTCCTGGTCTCCCATGGGGTGCAGGGCCCAAGGGCCTGGGCCATCCTCCACTGCACTCCCTGGCCACAGCAGAGAGCTGGCCTGGAAGAGGAGCAACCGGGACAGAATCCGGCTCCCCAACCGGGATTTGAACCCGTGGTGCCGGTGCCACAGGCGGAGGATTAGCCTAGTGAGCTGCGGCGCCGGCCTAAGGATTAATTTTATATGTATGTTGAACTTCCTGTCTCTTAGGAGCAATATATCCCATTTTTCAGGGTTACTAATTTTAATTTTGTTGCAGGTTGCAGATCGGCACGTCTGGAGGTCAGCCTTAGAAAGTGGACGGTATGAGCTGCTGAGTGAGGAAAACAAGGAGAATGGGATAATTAAAACTGTGAATGAAAATGTAGAAGAGATGGAAATTGATGAGCAAGCAAAGGTCATAGTAAAAGACAGGTACTTTTCTAAAATAACCATCAACTTTTCCTTATTTAAACATTTTTTATTTTAAAAATTATCATGAGGGAGGACCTTAAAATTTCCAACCACTGAAATGATTTTCTTAAAACCTCAGTGTCTTTTACTCTTATTTTGTACAGCTGCAACCAAAAGACAACTGATTAGAATAAAGATAATTTCTCAAGAGTTTAAAAAAAAAATCTTTGAACTTGGAAGTTTTTATTTGCTTCGGAAGTAACTGTGCTATGTTTTTCTGTAAGAAAACTTCACAAATTTTAGTAGACTTAAATATTATTTGAACAATTAATCAGAATTTGTATCTGGAGATCAATAGGTAGATACTTTTCCTTTTTAAGATTACTTTAACCAGAATATGCCCTTATGCATTTTATCATCTGAAAGGGAATTCTAGAGAGACATGAAGCTAGCAGCTAGAGACCAGGGTAGACCAGGGCTTGATAGAAGGTCAGGTACCCAGTACAACTGTATGATGACATGGAAGGACTACAGTGAAGGAAGTACTGCAAAGCTGAGCCCAAAAGGTAGGCGAGCTATGACGCTAAGAGGAAACCATGTACAAAGGCTGTGAATTCATGGGATTGCATTTTTAAGTGATCATTTTACCAGCCACATGGAGATTTACTACAAAGGAACAGACTGGAGGTAATGAAAAAGTTAGGAGGCACTATAAGTACACTACCCAGTAGCTGAAATAAGAGGGAAAGAAAATGTGAATCAAGAGAAATAGAAAGAAGCTGCCTGAAATACTTAGACTTTAAGGCCCATGATGATGTCACCCCTCCAGAATCTTTCCCACATGCCTTCTCTAACTCCAGTATTTGTTCTTCTGTACGTCTAATTGAATTAATCCTCCCTGGGAGTTTACCACAGATCTGAGGTTAAGAAAACTATTTCTCACACAGGTAGAGAAAGCAGTTGAACAAATTAGTGGGCTGACGTTTTTAGTGTTTGGGTTTTTTTTGTTGTTTTTTTTTTTTAACCTTACACTGTTTTTAAGCACCATAAACTCTTGATTGTTTTCACTGTAGACTTTTAGGTATAAAAACAGAAACTCCAAGTACTGCCTCAACTAACACAAGTACACCACAGCCGGTGAGCAAGGTGGTTCATTATCTGGCCATAGCGCTCTTTCAAATAGAACAGGGCATTGAACGGCGTTTTCTCAAAGCTCCACTTGGTAAGGATGTATTTCTATTTCAAAATGTTAGTTACCTTTTAAATGACTAGTAAGTTGTCTGTTAATAGAACTTTAGTGGCTGACATAATGAAATTGATAGAATAATCTGAAAAACTTGTGATTATGTTTTCAGTTTTAAAAAGTGAATTCTTTCAGGTGAGTTTTAAAGTAATGCTAAACACCATTTGTCTAATTCACTCCAGATATTACTCTTTTAAACGAATATTCTTACCCTATTTCTTTCAGCTTTTCTTCAGTGAAAATTTTATCAAAAGAAAAATAAAGGTGAGACAGGGGGTGGGGCAGTGGTGGTGTGCCACAATTGGTTAAGCCACCACTTTCTCACATCCCATTTTGGAGTGCTGTGTGAGTGGTGTCTCCTCTGCTTCCAATCCAGCTTCTTATTAATGTGCCTGGGAGACAGCACGCAGATGGTAGCCCAATCCAGATGGAGTTCCTGACTTCTGGCCTTGACCTGGCCCAGCCCTGGCTGTTGCAGGCATTCAGGGAGTGAACTAGCAAATGGGAACCAGGAGCCAGAACTCTATTCATGTCTCCCACATGGGTAGCAGGAACTCAAATACTTAGGCCATCTTTCACTGCCTTCCCAAGCACACTAGCTGGGAGCTAAATCAGAAGCAGAGCAGCCCAGGACTCAAACCAGCACTCTATATGGGATGCCAGCATTGCAAGCAGCAGCTTAACGCGCTGCATGACAACACTGGCCCCAAAAGGTTTATTTTTTCTTTTAAAGATTCATTTATTTATTTGAAAGTCAGAGTTACATAGAGAGAAGAGAGGCAGAGAGAAAGAGGTCTTCTATCCAATGGTTCACTCGCCAGTTGGCCGCAACGGCTGGAGCTGCACAGATCTGAAGTCAGGAGCCAGGGGTTTCCTCCGGGTTTCCCATGTGGGTGCAGGGGCCCAAGGACTTGGGCCATCTTCTACTGCTTTCCCAGGCCGTAGCAGAGAGCTGGATTGAAAGTGGAGCAGCCGGGTCTTGAACTGGCACCCATATGGGATACCGGCACTTCAGGCCAGGGCATTAATCCACTGCACCACAGCACCAGCCCCCAAAATGTCTATTTTTAAAATGAAGAGTTTGTAGCTAGTAAACTGTTTTTATAAGCTAAGTTCTACCATGAGCTTAATGACTCACTTATCACTTTGAAGATAGCAGTTGTGAGAAATAAAATATGTATAATCACAGTGCCAAAAAACCCAAGCTTATATTTGCTGTATCACTCTTATTTTCTAGTCTTTAATATATCTTAGTATTTTCTTTGCTTAAATCCAATTACATATACAGAGGATCTCTTTGTATTTCTTATAATCACATGTGAATATTCAATTATTTGTTAGAATATAAAGTTATTTGTAAATCACACAGCTCTTAGAAATGGAAGATATTGCTACTACTGACTAATCCTGTGATTCTAGAAGAGGTATGGGATAAAACACAATTCTGATTATTTTTCTACTTCTGAAATTACTATCGGTTAAAGTTGTTTATAAGTTCAAGAGGGAAAAATCATATCTGTACATCTTATGAATATTTAGAAAAAGAAAAACTTACCATTGGGAATTGTTGCAACTTGTACCTATAGGAAAGTTATATATGAACCACGATGTTCCTTATGATGGTTTTTGTATATAGTAGGTTTAGAATATTCATTTCACCATGAAACATACAAAAGAATTTTAATTTAGGATCTTAAGTAAGATGAGAAAACTTCAACTTGTCTAACTTTGATGGTCATTAATAAGATCAGTGATGCCTTCTGTTGCTGTTCCATAGGAAGTTAATAAAAAAAAAAATGATAGCTGCAGCTCCTTATTGTATTTTTAAACCTTTGAAAGGTCTGTTTTGAATGGGACTCAGGAGGTCAAGATGGTCTAAATATCTGAAGCAAGGTAATCAAGAATATTAATCTGGAAGAGAAAATTAAGTTCTACTTAATGAATATTTGGGGTAGAATACACATGAAATTTCTGTTCACCTGATTATATTTCAGCATAGCAAATTAGCCATAGTAGGAATTTTCCCAGTTTTACATAAAATATTTTGGTTTCTTGAAAAAACAAGTAAGAGGGGCCAGCACTGTGGTGTAGTGGGTAAATTCGCTGCCTGCAGTACATGGGTAGTGCTCATGTTTGAGTCCCAGCTGCTCCACCTCTGATCCAGCTCTCTGTTATGGCCTGGGAAAGCAGTAGAAGATGGCTCAAGTCCTTGGGCCCCTGCACCTACATGAGAGACCTGGAAGAAGCTCCAGGCTACTGGCTTTGGATCAGAACAGCTCTGGCCATTGCAGCCATTTAGGGAGTGAACCAGTGAACCTCTCTCTCTGCCTCTGCCTCTCTGTAATGCTGCCTTTAAAAATAAATGAATAAATCTTCTGAAAAACAGCAAAAAAGAAGAAGCAAGTAAGAAACAAGAATTCTACTCATGTTCCACTTTCACTAATATGTCCCTTTTATTCTAGTGATTAACCACATTGATAAAACTAAGCTTTTCTGAGTTAGAGATGATAAGCATTTTGATGAATAGTTTTAGGTAAGATATGTGAACTTATTTAACTTGATAATTTCTTTTTTTTTAAACTTTTATTTAGTAAATATAATTTCCAAAGTATAGTTTATGGATTACAGTGACTCCCCCCCCCCCAGCTTCCCTCCCACCCTTACCCCTCCCATCTCCTGCTCCCTCTCCCATTCCATTCACATCTTTATATACAGAAGATCGATTTAGTATATATTAAGTAAAGATATCATCAGGTTGCACCCACACAGAAAATAAAAGTGGAAAAAACTGTTTGAGTACTAGTTATAGCATTAATTTCACATTGGACAACACATTAAAGGAAAGAAATCCCACATGAGGGAGTAAGTACACAGGGGACTCCTGGTTGTTGGACTTAACAATTTGACACTCTCGTTTATGGTGTCAAAAATCTCCCTAGGCTCTAGTCATGAGTTTCCAAGGCTATGGAAGCCTCTTGAGTTCGCTGACTTTGATCTCATTTAGACAAGGTCATAGTCAAAGTGGAAGTTCTCTCCTCCCTTCAGAGAAAGGTACCTCCTTCTTTGATGGCCCATTCTTTTTTTTTTTTTTTTTTTCCATAATTGAGATTTTATTGGTGTTGAGAATCAGCACACAAATTTTAATTTGTACACAATTCTTAACATATGTACCAAAAATCTAAAAAGCCATGAATTGTCATTCTTTTTTTAAAAGTTATTCCAGTGACTTTCCAGCTTCAAATTTGGAGGCAACTCTTCCTTAAGAGGCTATCAAGTACAAGTATCTTCAAATGTTGCTGTTACATAAATCCCACCCATTCACAATATAATAGCATATACACGACACTCAAATTTTCAATCTTTCATGGCACATTAACAAAATCATTAGGAAAACTGGACTACCACAACTGAAGATGTTACAGAGTGCACATGGTTCTGACAGAACAAGGAGTGGTTTTCTGTAGGAAACAATTCTACAAAACACGGGAGAAGTAACTGAAAATAGTCAAGACAGATTAAATGCACAATTGAGACTCCAAATTGCCATTTAGTATGCGCTGTACTGTAGGATATAAAAACCACCCCCACCTATGGAATGTTAAGCTGACACCCAAGACAGTCAAAGCCTCCCAGAATTCAATATGCCACTATTTTCTGGTTGTACCAAAAAAATAAACAACCAGCAAACGATTTCACCTCTTAAAAAAAATCATTTACACTTAAAAAATGGGATGAGGTGGGCTTCCCTCCTTCTTAAAAATGTTTCTAGAGCTACTAAAAAACTTGCATTTACAAAATAGTTGATAAAAATATTCCTCTGGATTGTACAAGAAGGGAGACAGGGACCACTGATAACACATGGTGTATGGTATTAATCGGACTTGGCTTCTTTCTCTTCTGCTTCATCAGAGGCTGGACTCTCCTCGTTTTTCGTTTCTCCGTTTTCTGCAGGCAGGTCTTCTTTAGCTTCTTGGTTAGCCACCTCGGCCTGTTTTCCCTTTGCTCCTCTCTTCCCCTTTGCTTGCACTTTCTTGTCTGATGACTTATCCTTCCCGGCGGCCTTCTTGGGCTTCGCTTCCACCTTCGCGGGGGGGCCAGCTTCGCCGACAAGCGCGCCAACCTCCTCTTGGGCTCCTCCTTGGCCGCCCCCTCGGCAGAGCTGACCTCCCTCTTGGGCATCCTGGCGGCGCGGAGGGCGCGTGCCAGGTGCCTGCGGGCCGCGGCACACCGATAGCCTTCGCGGAGCTGGGCTGCCTGGCCGCTGCCGCTCCGCTCCTCCCGCCGCCCGAGCTGCTGGGACCCGCGGCGGGGATGGTGGGAGAACCGGGTGGAACCGGATTGGGAGCCTGCCCCCTCCTCGATGGCCCGTTCTTTCTACTGGGATCGACTCACAGAGATCTTTCATTTAGGTTTTTTTTTTGTTTTTTTGTTTTGTTTTGTTTTTGCCAGAGTGTCTTGGCTTTCCATGCCTAAAATACTCTCATGGGCTCTTCAGCCAGATCTGAATGCCTTAAGGGCTGATTCTGAGGCCAGAGTACTGTTTAGGACATCTGCCATTCTGTGAGTCTGCTATGTATCTCACTGCCCATGTTGGATCGTTCTCTCCCTTTTTTATTCTATCAGTTAGTATTCGCAGACACTAGTCTTGTTTGTGTGATCCCTTTGACTCTTAGACCTATCAGTGTGATCAATTGTGAACTGAACTTGATCACTTGGACTGGTGAGATGGCATTGGTACATGCAATCTTGATGGGATTGTATTGGAATCCCCTGGCACATTTCTAACTCCCCCATTTGGGGCAAGTCCAATTGAGCATGTTCCCAAACTGTACATCTCCTCCCTCTCTTATTCCCACTCTTATATTTAACAGGGATCACTTTTCATTAACTTGATAATTTCATCATTTATTAGATCATGCTTATGGTTAGTTAAAAAACCCTTAAATTATGAAAACAAATTTCCAAGTATATTAATTTGA